TTTCTACTGAATGTTTTATTAATGAAACGAAATGTCAACGGTTAATCTCATGGCACAAGAGATAAAAAAAAAGAAAAAAAAAAGGAAAAGAAAGTTCGAAGAAAAAAATAAAATGAGTTATATAAAAAGAATAAAGTACGTGAACTTTTTTATCAATTTAATTGGTTATTTTTTAAAATTACATAAATTAATACTTTTCGAATTCAATCTGGTTACTTAAAGAAAAAAAAAAAAAAAAACTTCATAGAGCCAAAATTAATTGCAAGAATACATGAAGTAAATCTCTTTGTTCGGCAATTTCATGCGATAAAGAATTTTCCAACAAAGCTTAAACAACGCGTCATTCATTTGACGGGTCATTTAATTCTCATTTAAAAATTATAATTATTTATATCAACGTACTTCAAAATTCGATTTAAGAGAATTGAAAATTCGATTAAACAAGAACAATAATTGACGTTGTTCAGCTTAAATATTTTTTACTTGTAACAATACGATCAACTATTAGAACATAATAATAATGAAAAACAACAAATGAATCAATATAAATCAAAAATAATTATTAATCAAAAATTGTCAAATGTTTAACAATCACGTAAATTCTATTTACATAAATTTTTTTTCTTATTATCGAATATAAATAATTTCTAAAAGTAGAACATCTCTGTTTATATGACCTTTTTTCATCCTTGGGGATAATAAAATACGACATCAAAGTTTAGCCATCCATTTCTAAAGTACCTGAATACATACGTATATAAAATAAATGAGAATTCAAATATACAAAGAGAGAATATAGAGATTATAATTTATATAGATATATATATATATATATTTTTTTTTTATTTCTGTTAAAATCAATTTAAGAGTAAATTGATAATATGCAAATACATTTTTAATAATTATTTTTAATAATTATATTTAATAATTATTATTATTATTATACATCGAATATTTCTCTTTTCATTGTTAATAAAATATATAATATCAAATAAATCCTTTGCTTAATAATATTTTATATTATCTTTACATTCGCAAATTTAATATTATCGAATGGAATACGAGCTAAAAAAAAACTGATAGATATTCTTTATTCTTATATTATAGAAAAATTTATAAAAAATAAAATACAAATGTATAATTGTATGATATTTTGCATATCAAGTTACAATATTCAATATTTAATTATCATAGAAATTTTTATCAAATAAAAAATATAACAAAATGTTTTACAATCTATATAATATCGTAGGAATTCTCGTATAATTTTTATTCGATATAAAATGATACAATTGATAATTAATCATATTTCATTAATCATTTTCGTGCTTATTTATATTTATAGATCACAATGGCAAACAGAATATACTTAACATTATGAAGAATAACGAAAGCTTGGAGAATTATTTGTTGAGTATCATAGAGGGTAGTGAATATCTCAACATAACTCGGAATAATTCTAACTCGAAGCATTCAATAACGTGTGACGAGTTCGTCAGCAAGGAGAATGTTATCTCATCGATTTGGTTCCAAGCAACTGTCTACTTTCTTTATAGTACGATTTTCGTTGTAGCTCTAATAGGAAATGGATTGGTCTGCTACGTCGTTCAAAGTAGTCCAAGAATGCAAACAGTTACTAACTACTTTATCGTTAATCTGGCAATCAGTGATATCTTGATAGCAGTATTATGTGTCCCTACAACGTTCGTCAGTGTATTAATACTTCAATATTGGTCATTTGGTCCGACACTCTGTCCAATCGTTAATTATTCACAGGCAAGTATTGTATATATATTTATTTATTTTTTTATTTATAATATTCTTAATGATCGATAAGAATTCATTGTGATAAGAAAAATATATAAATAAATTTAACAATGTTTAAAACATTAAGACAAACTTTTATTGATACGTTCTATACAACGAAGGTCAATGATGACACAGACATTCAATTTTATAAATTTCATTTAGAAATCTTTTTAATATTTCTTATTGTGACATTTAAAATATTATAAATGTACTTTCACGTAAAAGTTTAATTTAAAATTACAAAAATAAACAATGAACTTTTCTTTATACTTTATATCGGAAAAGTTATATGAAAGATCGTTTTTTTAAACAATCAACACGCATTAACGATATAATTTATTGAATAAAATTATTCCGAAAATATATACGTTATATTCGTAAACTCTGTGCTATTTATAACATTGGATATTAAACGAAAAAGTAAATATTTTATTTCATAATGATTGGAATGAATGGTAGAATTTTGTTTAATCGAACAAAAAAAAAGGATATCAAATATAGAATAAAGAATGATATAGATTATTGATTTTTGTTTAATCTATAACAGGCGGTTTCCGTGCTAGTAAGCGCATACACTTTGGTAGCAATCAGCATAGATCGTTACATAGCCATAATGTGGCCATTGAAGCCACGCATGAGTAAAAAACAAGCGACACTTTTGATACTGGGTGTCTGGTTACTCGCATTGATAATCTCTTTCCCGATTGTTTTGGTATCGGAACTTCTTCAACCTACATCGGATATATACGTGAAATGCAATAAGTTCATCTGCCGAGAGAATTGGAAATCGGAAAACCAAAGGTAAAAATAAATTTTCGTATATGATGGAATTTAAGTCCATTCAGCGTTAAAAGATTCATCGATACACAATGTTTTTTATGAACCATTTATTTCTTACGATAAGTTATGTCAAACAACCGTTCATGTCTATATCTGTTGCAAAACATTTTCTTTGAATTTAATTTGAAATTAATTGGAAAATTATAACGCTAAAGTTTCGAATGAAATTATCATATTTCGATACATCATTTCAATGATTTATTATAAATATTAAAAATGAAAAATTATATATTGTATATATTTAAATTTAACATCGTATATATTTTTTAATTATATATATATTTTATATTTAAAATTTTTTTTACTCAATAATCTTATTTAATAATTATAATATTCGCATTTATTATTATTATTTCTTCTCTTTTTATATTTTCTAATCGTTATTTTATTTAAATTTAATTATAATATTAAATATATAATTTCATATTCCTGAATTTGAGAATACTCAAAGCAAGATACAATGTATATAAAGTATACAATCTTTCATTTTCTCTATTTATGGCATAAATCCGTTCTCTTATCATATTTTCTTTTGTTATCTTTTCTTAAGAAAATTCCGGAAATATATTAGATAACAAAGAATATACATATATATATATATATATATATATATATATATATATATATATATATATATAAATTCTATCAATAGTGGATATCAAAGATAAATAAATATATTTAAAAAAAAAAATTGGCAAAATAAAAGAGAATTTATGAGGAAAAAAATTCTGACAAAATAAACATTTGTCAAGTGCAAAATGTAACAATAGTTTATTCTTATTACTTTTATTTTTATTTCTACGTACAAAAATAACAGTATCATTGTACGAACAATTTTTCGAAATCCATATATGGATTCTTGAAAGACAATTTTTTAAAACCCATATATGGATTCATAACACTGAACATGTTAAAAGGTCAAAGATAATAATGATTAATATATATATGGTTTCCTTTTACAGATACTATTATACGATCGCCCTATTGGTCCTACAGTATCTGATACCACTGATGGTACTTTTATTCACTTACACTAGCATCGCCATAATTGTATGGGGTAAAAGACCACCAGGGGAGGCAGAAAATACAAGAGATCAAAGAATGGCACGTTCAAAAAGAAAGGTATTTTTGTTTTTTTTTTGATCTTTTCTTCTTTTTTATACATTTTTCTTGCATACAATCTTATATAATATCATATCATAGATCATAATAAATAATCGCAAAAAAAAAAGAAAATTACTTCTCCGTTAAACAAATCGATAAAGATGTGAAAAACGTTGATAGATATTTACGAGAAATGTCAAACTCGAGTAAGGAAAGATAAAACCTTTGCTCGATAAAATGCTTTAATAAGCCTTACACCTCGTATCAGATTATCGTTTGTTATTTATCGTGAAACAGGATCGTTTAATATAGAGAAGAATACGAGGATGAAGCACAAACTGTCATGTAAAGACGAACGTTTGAATTGGAGGATGGGTGTAATATGATAGATGGTCTCTCTTATGGTTGACGATAAAGTATAGGACAGTTTTTTAATTAAGTTCGATCGAATCGTTTCAATTAATCACCATAGTCGTTGATCCGAGAATGAAAACGAGTACTCCGTAACTTATATTCAATTTCGAACGTTAAAACTTTTTTGTTTTTTTTTTTTAATGATTTAAAAATGATTCATTTTAGAATGATAAACGAGCAAGAAATGAGTTTTACGTAAAAGTAATAATGAAAACAAAAAAAAGTTAATGGGAAGCGGTGGGTGGAGGAGGGGGGGGTGGAAGAAGAAAAAAGGAAAGGTTATTCTCTCAATCGTAAACAATGAAAATTCCATTCATTAGAGATTTTTATTAAAAAATATAGCAATTCGGTATTTCTACTTTTTATATTATAATTAATGTGTGCTTATATGCTTAGATATATATATATATATATATATATATATATATATATGTGTGTATGTGTATGTGTAGTAATGCTAAAGAGTGGAATAAGAATCTTTATTAGCTTGATTTTTAATTAAATTCATACACCTTTCAAGTGCTTTTAATCCAAACAGATCGTCTGTATTAATCGTAAGATAAAAAGTTCCTTTACTGAAACGAAAAAGAGAGAAACGATGTAATAAAGATTTTTCGTGAAACAATATCTATATACGACGATATAACTAATTGCAATTCGTTTTAAAGGTAAATTAAATGTAAAATATATAAAGCATATTATTATATAATTGCTAATAGTAATCGTTGGATAAAAAAAAAAAAGAAGAAGAAAAAAGAAAAAAAGTTGAAGTAATATCCGAACTCAATTTTTGTCTTTCGAGATAATAATGGAAACTTTTTGTAATCTCAACGAAGTTACTAATTCTGTTTACTAACGCGTTAGTTGAAGTTGCAAAGCCCATTGGAACTTTAAGGTTTTCGTTACACTTCCCAGCGAGAAAATCACGATATAAAGAACATTTTACCGCCATGAAGGAATTCTCATTGATTAATGATTCGGCATAATATTTCCATGATCGATGGTGACTGCAAAAATCTAGGGGAAAAAAAAAAATAAAAAAAAAAAAATAGTTTAATAATTTCGTTCACTAAAAAAAAAATATTCACTTGTTCATTTCTCGGTAAATTAATAACCGATTGAATAAAAACAACTTTTTATGGTGTATATGTTACAACGAATACAACGAGTAAAGGAGAAAACGCATCATGTGAAAAAGTTTCATAATAAAGTGCGTATATATTCATCTCAAAAAAAAAAAAAAAAAAAAGGAAAAAAGAAAAACAGAAAAATAAATAGAAATGGTTCTCTCGTACGAGATATTTAATTTTTTTATTATCATCAACGTTTCTTGATACTTTTTAACAATTACGAATACTGACCTTCGACACTTAAGAAAGGTGAACCTAACGAACATCCAGGCTGTAAACGATGTCCACCATTCGGAAAGAAATCCACAATTCCCGTAGTTCTAGATATCCCATAAAATCCATAATCCGTGTGAATAATATCGACGAATTGTGCGTCTGTCGAAGAAAGATGAGACTCGAAAAAATTGAATATAGGACCCGCAGGATCCAATCCTATAAAGTAATAATTAGTAATTCTTCGTTATTAATAAATCCTAAAAAAGAATAGGTATAGCTATAACAATTAAAATATATCCAAGAAGATTGATATATTTCAATGTATTTAATTGGAGAATTTCATTAACAAGAAATGAACAATTTAAGTGAAGTGGAATTTTGACTTTCGGATTTTGAATTTCTCTCGTTAAGAAAATATCGTAGAGAATGTTCAACTGATGTTGTACTTAAGTATCATTTGTTTCTCTTTACAAAAAAAAAAAAAAACAAAAACAAAAAATTAGATTTCGAAGGAATAAAGGAAGAAAAGTAAAAAATAATGAAAAAGGAAAAAAAAAATATATATATATATTTAATACACACCTGTGATCCTCGGTATCTTGAAATTTGTCGATTTCCCAATATGTCCGGCTACTTGGCTACCCAAAGAGTGACTAACAATATGAAGCTTTTCTGAATTTAGTCCAGCCAAAACCATCTTGTTCAAAGCTAAAGCTAAAGCATATCCCACAAATTTAGTGGCCAAAACCACTTCTACATACTGCAATTTACTGATGTTTCTATAATCGACAATTAGGATGTTATGGTCTTTACGTTGTAAATATGCTACAATCAAAATTTGGTTTTTTTCATTAATAAATCAAACTACTAATTCATATTTTGTTTAAACTTTAAAGGAAATAATATTATACAAAGGTAAGGTAGAACAGAACTCTGTAATCCGGCTTAAAGATAAATTCAACATAGTTTCGTGTTTGATAGACAAACAAAACTTGAAATATACTGACTGTAGACGTCGGGACATATGAAATTTTATCGTCGTCTTTAAAAAATCAAAATTGTATCGAAGTCTCTAGCAAATAACAGAAATAATTTCAAAAGACAACTTGTAACAATATCTTGAATACAATAATAAAGATTTCTTAAATATTTAAATGGACGGAAGAGATAAACGGAAGAAGTCATTCTTATATTTTTCTTAAGAAAAGCTCACGATTTTTTATTTATTTATTTATTTATTTTTTTTTTTTATCTTTTCAAAAATTTACCACATACTACCGTAGTTACGCTCTCTTTCTCAACGTCCTCCATAAACCCATGAATGTAGAATACTGTTGGTTTATTTTTATCCATTCTCGAAACGAGAAACGAAGCATTATTCAATTTCTCGTCGACATAATCCTCAAGCGTGTTACTGAAATAAGAATTTCAAACGTTTTTTTTATTAATACCAATACGACGCGTATATATTATATGTATTTGTTGTAAATTAATTACTTGTAATAGCGTAGAAATATAGAATCAAGCTCCCAGTTTCTTGTCCTTACATCTGTAAATGAAAATCAAAATGTGTTAGTGTACAAGTTAAACACTTGTATAGAATTCATTTTTAAGCAATTACATTTCTTTGTTTGTAATCCATTACTTTTTTTTTAAATCGTAAATATTTTCTTTTTTTTCTTTTTTTTTTTTTTTCTTTTTTCGACATCTACGGGAGAAATCTTTTTTTTCTTCGCCTACAAACATTAATTATACAACTTTCAAAGATAATATTGCCATATATTTAATTCACACATATGCACATACACACATATACGCATGTACAATGATTCAAAAAAAAACTTACAAGATAAAAACGAGCTTATTAAAATGACAATAGGAACGTAACGAGAGACGTTAATCATAATGATGTATATTTTTGGGGGTGTGTTGATGAAAAAACCTATCAAGACTACGCCCCAATTCTTTGATCAGTCATATATAATAGTGATAGCGTAATGTTACCCGTATGTATACCGGATATTAAATTTAGGCAAATGTCACGTCACCATTTTTAAAAGTCATTATATGCCCATTTATAATATCTCAGCAAGGAGAGGGAACATTATATAAATGATCTATTTACATAATAGCAGCTAATTTAAAAGCTAATTAAAAGAGAATTTACAAGGTATCATAAATATCCGTCTTGTTAAAAAAAAAAAAAAAATATTTAGACCTTGAGAAAAATTTTTCGATAAACATATTTTTCTTTCGGATCAGTGAACCAATGGTGTCCCATATAATAATCTTTATACACTCAAATATTACGTCTAATGAATAATAATTGGTCTCATTAAATTGTTGCGTACGATAAAAAGTCAACAAAAGAAATAGCAGAAACATTTATGCTGACATCATCGAAGGTGCATGACATATAATTGTATACGTGTTATCAATACTTTATTATATGTATGTATTTGCATGAAAGTAAAAGTCCAAAATTATCAGCCGCCTCGTCTTTTAGTTTAACAAAGAAAAAAAAAGAAAAAAGAAAAAAATATAAGAAGACGGAGAGAAGAACGAACGTGTGCTTTGCATAATAATCGATTAATTTGCCTCTCAAAATCATTTCCAATCATTTTTCTTTCACCAAAAGGATTGTCAAAGAAGATTTTGAAAATTAGAAAATTTATATATATATATATATATGTAAATACGAAAAATATTATTTTTCTTCTTTTTTCAAGATTATGTTCTCCTTATTCAATCGATTTTATGCCTCAACTTGTAGAGACATAAACTCGAAGGCTACCATTAAAGCCGATGGAAGGAAAAGATTTATTATTTTTCTTAAAAAAGAAAGAATAATAATCAAGCTCTTTGTTATAATTAATAGCCGAATGTGATCGATAAAGTTCGATGAGTTATAAAATTGAAAAAAGAAAAAGGAAAAGAAAAGGTAAGGAAAATAAAACAAAATAAGGAAAAATGCGGAAAAATCATTTTGTTCTTGATTTTGTTTTGATAATTAATTTATAAAATATAATTAATTAATATTTAATCGTTTTATTAATTTTTAAAAATCTTTATTATTCTTTCATCATTTACTCGTTTCATAATTTAGCCAATCGATCGATCGAGAGAACAAATTTGTAATATTTATAATTATATAATTAATCGAACTAAATCGATAAATTCCCTTGTTAATGTTATATAATAAATACGAGGAAAATGTAGTTTCCAATTTTCCGTCAGAAATAATAGATCTCTTCGAGGTTACGAGCATACAAATAAATGTTAGACAATGGAGAAGATATCACAGTAAACCGTGATATCTTCTCTAAATTCGTGAATATATAATAATTATCACGTCGAGGATAAATACATACACGTTAATTAAAGCATCTTATTAAATTTTAACGATATGCAAAGGATCGATATTCAAAGATAACTCTATTGTCTATCTATCTATCTATATATATATATATATATATATTTATATAAATATATATAAATAAATATACATATATACATATATATATGTATGTATAAAAGAAACAGGACATTTTCCCAATTAAATAACAGAGAAATACCGAAGAAACATTTTTGTCGATCGAGTTTCCTATATTTGTGTGAAAGAACTTTTGTGACGAAGAAAAACCTTGTCATGCCATATGATTCCTTGTCATTCTCTTATTCTTTAAACGAAAATCGATTACTATAACATCAAAGAAAAGGAGAGAGAAAGAGAGAGAGAGAGAAAGGGAGAATATTGTTTCCATAGTCTACGAGTTTTTATTCATTCATAAAAATAGACGAAATGAGAAAAATGAATATAAAGATAAAAAAAGAATGAAAGAGAGAGAGAGAGAGAGAGAGAGAGAGAAACAGTGATCTCGTAAAATACAATTTTACAAAATTCATTATACTTCAAACGATCACAACAATAGCGATGTAATAACAATGTTACGATTCCTAAACGAAAAAACATTACTATCCTTTTGTTTATTTTTTCGTTTCTTTTTCCTTTTTCGTTTCTTTTTTTTTTCTTTTTTTTTCTGAGAAATCCTTTCCGAAAGAAAGAACAACATGTTATTTCTTTATTCGTTTTTTTTTTTTTACGACTTTTTGGTCCATGATCCGTGATAAAAGAAAATAATTCCAAAGGTTCTTGTACCTTCTTAAATTACGAAAGTAATGACACCCTCATGAATAAGAAATATAAATTAGACCTTGTTTCGATGTAATCTTTTTTTGAAATAAACTAATGCTCCTCGTTCCCCAAGGATTTCCTTACAAAAAGAATATTTTCCAAAGAAGAAAGTTTTACACTAAGCTTAAAGAGAAACAATGAAACAATTGTCCAATGCGATATAAAAAAGAAATGTCGCATTTATTTTATCTCGAGGAATAAATTCCTTTAACAAAAACAACAACAATAAAAATAACAATAATAATAATAATAATAATAATAATAATAATAATAATAATAATAACACCAACAATAACATACATTCATGATAAACTACAATCTACGAATCGAATTTAAGGGAGAAAAAATAAAAAAGGAAGAAAATAACATCGAGATTACTTCGATCAAGTGATAAAGCACGGCTTTGTTGAGAATCGTTGGCAAACTATGTTGTCAGCCATTGAGATCCTTCGTAGGTCCTTTATCAATCGCAGTTTCCATTCGCTTTCTTGCTATCCCCGATCACTTCTCATTTTCCTGCTTCCTCGAGACGTAGAGCAATATCGAGCCAGGAGTAATCGAAATTCTTCTTTTTTTGTTCACTGCCTTTAACTTCTTCTTTTTATTTTATATCGTCTTCATATCGAATCATTTTTCAAGATTTTGTATTCCTCGATATCATTGATTTATGAATGATAAAATGTACATGTTATTTTAATGTTAATAATTACATTGGACAATAATTTGTTTTCGAATGAAAGGACGAACGATGAATCACGTTCTATTCGAACATTACGAAATTAAAAATAACTTTCTTGATAATTTTGTAAATGTCATCAAACGATTTGATTTTTAGGTCAACAAGTATATTGGAAAGATTTAAACGAGAGAGAGAGAGAGAGAGAGAGAGAGAAAAAAAAAGAAAAGATTAAATGTAAAGATTTTTAATTATAAAAAGAAAAGCATCTTTTTTTCATCTTATAAGAAAATTTAATTAATATTGTTTAATATATAAGAGAAAGAGAGAGAGAGAGAGAGAGAGAGAGAGAGAGAGAAATAACAATAATGAATTATCATGTCTCTCTTTTTATTTTATCGAGAAATGAGATTGGTCGAGGACAAGCAGTCGAATGGGCGAAAGGACGTTCAATGGAAAACGAGATTGGAAAAACCAACCTTTGTAGTATTTTGCTCGTTTTTCTTTTATTACCCTTCTCTTTGTTTTTTGTCACTCTCTTTTTTATCTTTTTTGTTGTACTTTTTAATTTATTTTCTTTAATTATTAAAATCATTTTCGTCATGTGTAAAAAGAAAAAGGAACACACATATTGACGATATTTCGTTAGAAAGAAAAGAATAAAAAGAAATTCTAATTATCGATACTTTCTTAGTTAATAATAAAGATCAATGAAGTTTACTAATTAGTTATTATTATGTGTTAATAGCCCGTTTAAATGGATTAATCTTTAGAGGATGTTATAGGTCAAGGGGAAGAGTTAATTCCGGTGTCAAGTATTCTTCCTTTATGATGAATAAATAAAGAAAAATAATTTTCATTGATATAATATTATCAGACGTGAAATATCTAAGAATTGGATTTTACGGTTCGCTTTATATCAAAAGCAACAATAAATATTTCAAGAGAAATGTTCTCTCTCTCTCTCTCTCTCTCTCTCTCTCTCTCTCTCTCTCTCTCTCCTCTCTCTCGAAAGAATCGAGCTCCTTCGCTTCTTCTTTTTATTTTTTTTTTATTTTACTTTTATCTCTTTTTTTTTTTTATTTTTATTATCACATAAACACGTAAAATATGTACGTATGTTATCGCGCAATATATCCTTCTTTTTCTTTCACACTCATAAACACTGAAAGAAATTCGCTTTCTCCATTCCACATGGAACACGCGAACTTTCTACGTGTATTACGTTTGATATTACGTGAACGACGAAGTCAAAGGAAAAGCATTCTCATGGGATTTTCCATGAACTTACGAGAATTTCTGGGGATGATGGGCAATAAGGAAAGTACCGTATATATTAAAATATAATAAATATTCACAATGAAATTATATCGCGAAACGACAAATATTTTATGAAAAGAAATTAATCGAAGTTAAATCAAATGGAAAAATTAAAAATTTTCATATTTTTAGAGTGTCCTTATTCTTTCAAAATAAATTGGGAAATTTAATGACTATTTATTTCGAAGGTAAAACAGAAAAAAGGAAAAAAATATATATATATATATATATATAAAGGATGAGTATATACAGGGTAACTTATTTTTAAAAAACATGATCAAATATCTCCGATTTTATTGATTTTAAAAACAAATGTTCGAAACAAAAATTGCTTGGTTGACGAAAAAATATAATAAATTTTGAAGAAAAAATATAATATTTATTGCAATTATTTCTTAAAGAGTCCTATTTTCATGAAATTCATAACAATCTTTCTAAATAAATATCGATATCTTAAGCCTAATAAAAGTTGTTGAGAATTATAATACGAATCCAATGTGTATTTTACAGTGTAATTACTTTTTTATCTATATTTCATCTAATTATAACGCAAATCATCTGGAATTAGCATAATCGTTTTTAATCCTTATTACAAAATAAAAGACTCTTATATTTATGTAAATTAAAAACAGATCGAATGTACGATAGGATAAAACTAATCATTAGTTATCACTTTACAATAATTGTCTACAGTTCAATTTACTCCACGAAATTAAAAAGACAAAGACCAATTCTAATTCGATCACTTCTAATCATCCAAAAGTGACTCCTTCAAATTGCCAATCTCATTCTATGAATCCTTTGAACCTATATTCCATTTGAATTATTTCATCAATTTGATAATCCTTTCAATTAAAACTCGACTATCTAATCGCTTTAATTCTAATCGTTGAACCTTTTTACGATCGAATTTAAGATTTCTAAGGACTATTATTTGTCGTAAAAAAAAAAAAAAAATTTACTTTTAAATCTAGAAAAAAAAAAAATTATTAAAATCATTTTCCGAAAGACAAAGTATCCAACTTTTGTTACTCTGTTACAGATGATCAAAATGATGATTACCGTTGTATTGGTCTTCACCATGTGCTGGTTACCCTTCAACATTCTCTACGTAAGTGAATCAAAAGCATTCTAATTGAAAATTCGACAAGTCGAAGTGAAAAATCGATCGTGTCACGAAATTTTATTAGTAAAGCTTTCAGTGACAATTTTCTACGGTCTCGTTCTCATCATAAAAAAAAAAAAAGAGAGGGAGAGAAAGAGAAAGAGAAAGAGAAAGAGAGAGAGAGAGAAGGAAAAAAATGATATTGTTTCAAGGTAGCCATAATTGGATTATAAAAACGCGCTTGTTATCGTTGATCATTATTTAAAACAAATATCATATTTTTGTTTTCAACTCTTTCGTTATGAAGATAGACGATCAAATGGACTGTATATTTATAAATTATAATGGAAAATCTTTTTTTTTTTTTTTTTTTTTTTTTTTTAGTATTATCGTACAATTATTTTCGTATCTTCGCATCAAAACATTATAATATTTTATTGACTCTTTTCAACTACACTTAGATCTTAATCTCATGGGAATGATAATTATTAAAATTGTTTTTATATATTTCTTTTTTATTTCAAAATCGTTAAAAAACAAAACTTTATATACGTAAAAGTTATGCGTCTTAATGCATTTTATCGTTTTAAATGTGTATTTCTAGTTAAAAATTTTTCGTTGTTACGACTAATCGTATAAAAAAAAAAAAAGAAAAAGAAAAATTGTAAACGTATAAAAGTTTCGACTTTTTTTGTTTTTACGTTTCTTCTTTTTTTTTCCCCCTCTCTCCAAAGTCATTACAAATATCGAAAAATTTAATAATTAAAACTGATAATAATAAAATTCAAATTTCCAGAGAAAAAAGTTCTAATTACTCGATTAACATCTCTCTGTCAGATAGTATTAGATTTCGATGGGAGACTAAATAACTGGTCGGGTCTTCCATTCATATGGGCAACCCTTCATTGGCTTTCAATGTCACATTCCTGTTACAATCCAGTAATCTATTGTTGGATGAATGTCAGATTTCGTGCAGGCTTTATCATTGCATTTGGACGTTTACCATGCTTGCATAGATTCATACATAATCGAGGAAGACATACGTATAATACCAGTATGGTGGGCATGCCCTTGACAGGTAAGAAAAATTAGAAAAGAAAAAAAGAACGAAATAATTAAAAAATCGAAAGGAAAGGACGATTCGAAATATTCTTTTTTTATTTATTTATTTATTTATTTATTTATTTACTTTCAGATGTCGAAGGATCCAGTCATTTTGTTTTGCAGCGAAAAAACACGAGCACGACTTATGTCAGTGTCAGGCACAAAACTAATGAAAATCATGGGGCACCTGCAAGAAGTGCCAGCTTCCGTAACAACGAATCATTGCGAACTAATATCCCACAGTCTCAACAATCACAGTTAGAGGAACAGATATAAAGAAGAAGAAGAAGAAGAAAAAAAAAAATGAGAAAGAAAGAAAAGATAAAAGGAGAACTTTCTTTCGAAGTTTTAATGTTTTATTTAGGGAAATATGAATTTGTATTATCGTAATAATCGAGTTACGCGATCACATTTTCTTATTTTGATTTTTACTTTCACCAACTAAGGAAATATCTTTTTTCTTGTATATTCTACAAAAGAAAAAAGCAAAAGGAAAAAAAAAAAAAGAAAAGAGAAAAAAATGTAAAAAATTAATATTATCTTTGAACGCACGTCCTTTCTTTTTCCTTCTCTGTTAAAATATCATGAAAAAAAATTTCAATTCACTTTATGATACGTTAATAAATTGAAAAAATAGAGCAATCACTTCAAATGTTAACCCTTACGTATTAAGTTCCTTTTTATATGTACTTACGTATATTTTTCTAATTTTATTTTTCGAACAAATTGAACTAACAATACTCGTATAAATTCTCATTTTAGGAAATTCCGTTTCTCACGCTTTGCATTAAAGTTTTCGAGCCATGTATTACGATATAGATATAAAATAATATAAAAAAAGAAAAAAAAAGAAAAAAAAAAAGAAAAAAAAAGAAAATGAAACAAATCATAACAAATGCGACCAATTTTCGATATCTCGCTTGTATATCTGTCTTTCCTTCATTGGCTGTTATTTTATTTTGTGTGTATCCTTAAGCATGTATTAAATGTATGTTTACTTATAAGGCAATAAAATTATCTTTGATATAAACAATAATCTTATTCAAATTACAGATTAAAAAACAATCACATAATACACAATAGAAATATATGCATTATCACATTTATACATTTATATTTTATTTAGATTGAAATGTATGGATAATTTGATATTAGACATTGAATTTAAACAATAATTTTAATTAATTAATAAAAGAAAAAAAAAGTTTATATATATATATATATATATATAGACTTTGAATGAACAACGAACAGCAAGATGTATAAAGAAATAATCTTTGGCTGATTATTAGATTTAATAAATTCATTTGAATGATTTCATTTAACATAGAATTTGTTTCAAAGTAAGTAACATTTCAATATTACGATATGCTATTAATCCACCATTATTTGCTGCATTTGCACTAGTAGTGGAATATTTTAAATCCAAATCATCCAAATTTGTACTCTTTAAAAATTTTTGATAATCTACTATACCCCCACCTAAAGATCGTAATATGGCTTGTGGAGCGCATGTGTCCCATTTGTAAGTAGAATTTTTAGAAAGTACATAAGCAGCTGCCATGCCTAAGGCAACATTTAATATTTTATTTCCAGCACCAGCTATCTCTAATAATATAAAACCTGCCATTCTAAGTTTAGATTTTAAATCTTCATCTTCAGATCTTCCAATAAATATAGTTTTACTTGTCTCATCTGTATCATTAACAGAGTTCTTAATAATGCTTGAGTAACACTTATCTGTATCAGTTTCTGAATATCCCCAATAACATGAACCATTCCATCTGACAAAAATAATTTCTTTAATATTTGTTCATATTATTTAAAACAAATAAAAATTCTAAAACTATTTACTCACAATTGATCCATACGTAACTCACAAAATGGTTTATTTACAATACCTAATACTGGTAATCCTGTACTTTTAAGATATGCACCTACTAATACTGTAACACAATGTAAACCTTTATCATCTATAGCAGGATGTACGTATTCTCCAGTCGCATCTGCAACAATTTTACTTATTGTTCAATCTATACCATATGTAGTGATTATAATATATAAATTCTTACCTATTGGATCTATCCATATACCAAGATCTTCTATAGGCAGAGTAAAATCATTAGGAATGTCTTGCACGGTTTGGACATCTTTCAATTGAATATCTTTATGAACTTCGGTAGCAAGAAAACTAGCTGTTTCAGTATCATTACCCATAACTCTGGCTAGTAATAAAGTTGTTTCCGAACAAGTAGAACATACTTCCACAATTATGGTTTCTCCAAGTGTGTTGGTAAATGTATTGTTTTCTTCACCTTGTACAACCTTTGCTAATTCTGGAAACTAACTATTTCTGCAAGACATTCTATTTGCGTATTACTTAAATATATCATATATTAATCTTAATAATATGCAAAGTAAATACTTAATTTAATCCTTTTTTAATGACAACAAATAAATATCTATATTCGCCTTACCTCTAATGCTATATCATGTTTAATAGTTTCTTGAATCAAAACATCAGCCAATGTTTTAAAATCCCTAACAAAACTTGGATTTTTCTCTGTATCTGATTTTTCTTGAATTAAAAGATTAAACAGTGATTTATTTTGTCTACACACTCTAGCAATATTAGCGGCCTTCTCTGAAGCCTTTAAAAGAACCAATAATAACTTGCTTCCATTCTCCATGATTTTAAAATTTAGAGACTGAAATTTATAACAACTGAATATATGTGTACATATATATATACTGAATATAAATTAAAAACACTGAATATAAATGAAAAAAAAAAAAGACACTTCCGTTTGAGTCACCGACAAGGCTCAAGATCGCATAAAACGTTTATAAATTATAAATTACAAAGAATCCTTAAAATGTTTGTTTCATAATAATACCTTTCATTGAATTATCGACTTCTCGGTATATAGTATACACATTAGACACGTTAATGTTATTGTTATACAATCACTACATCACTATTTAAAATTCAAAATTTCTCTTCGATCTTATAGAGTTGCGTCTTCGAAAGGTGTCTATGAATTGATTGATTTTTATACAAATATAGTGTATCGGCATGACGCTAATGAAAATCAGATGAACTGTAAATTTTATGCACAATTAATTTTAACCAATATATTTAATATTGATACAAACCCAATATAAATTAAAAATTTTCCAGCATGACATGACGAAACTTATATTTCAAAATTATATCCTAATATTATCAACAAGTAATATTCGTAGAAGATCGATAGCTCAATGCTCAAATTGAACAATTATTCATTAAGATATGACGAGAAAATAATTCTTAATAGTCGAATTTTAAATGTTATAATGAAACTTATTTTATAATTGATAATTATTATTGTTATTAATAAAATACTTATATTTTTTTAAATACAAAAATCATTCAGGAATGTTGAACTCTTCATAGTTTTGAAATCGAACTTAAAATTGATTGGTTCGATTCTCATATCGAAGTAAGGTACATTCTTGTCCAATAAAAAACAATACATTCGCAATGAATTCAACCAATCAGAACAAATCAGTTTTTTATAGGTTATTTCATTAATGTGTGTAATATAAAAAATTGATATATATATATATATATATATATATATATATATATATATATATGTAATTATAACATAAATTGTATTATTTTTGCTATCCTTTAGATTGAAAATATGTAACATAATAAAATAACTATATAATGTATAAAAAAATTAAATATTTATCATCGTTAACACTTTAACCTTTCAAATTTAATATTATACGTATTCAGATTTATTATATTTTTACAGTGCACTTCTTTTAAAATGACGGTAGTACTTGGTGGTGGTATATCAGGCTTATCAGCTGCATATTATGCACTAAAAAATCCTAAAATTGGTCCAATAACAGTGCTAGAAGCATCTAATCGTTTAGGTGGATGGATAAGAAGTTATGAATTATCAAATGGTATAATATTTGAAAAAGGACCAAGAACTATAAGATGCCTAGGATCAGCTGGAAAAAATACATTAAATTTATTGGAGGATTTGCAATTAACTAATAAACTTATTCCTATTAAATCAGATCATCCTAGTGCTAAGAATAGAATGATTTATTCGCGTAATAAATTACATTTATTACCAAATTCTTTCCTTAGTATATTTAAAACTAATTCTTTATTAAATCGTTCTTTAGCAAGTTTTCTTATAAAAGATTTGACAGCACCAATGGTACGTAAGGATGATGAAAGTATACATAGTTTTATTACAAGAAGAATAGGAAAAGATATTGCCGATTATCTTGTTAGTCCTATGATTTGCGGAATTTGTGCTGGCGATGCACAGAAGATAAGTGTAAACTTTCTAATGAAATCTTTGTTTGAAGCAGAACAAAAACATGGATCTATAATAAAAGGATTATTCAAAGAATTATTTAAAATGCAAGATGTTAATAATATGACAGAATATAAATCGAACTTAGTTAAAAAAGCTAACGTAGAAAAATGGGTAGTATGGGGTTTAAAAGGAGGACTTGAAGAATTACCACGTTCCTTAGGAAATAATTTACAAACACAAGGTGTTGATATACAATTAAATAGCCACTGTGAAAAACTGTTTTTTCAATCGGATCATGTTGAATTAACTATTAATGGAAAGGCAAAAAAATATTCTCACGTTATCTCAAGTCTACCAGCAAAAATTCTGGCAAAATTGTTGGAAGAACAATATCCTGATTTAGCAGAACAATTAAAAGCAATACCTATGGTTACAGTGGCCGTAGTTAATCTACAATTTGCCGATAATGTCTTGCCTATCAATGCTTTTGGTTTTCTTGTTCCACCAGGAGAAAATCTTCCAATTCTTGGCGTGATCTTTGATTCGTGTATTTTTCCTAAAAACTCTTCGACGGTATGTAGAAAAATAGAAAAATTTTATTTACATTTACATTAGATTCACTTTTGAACACATTTTTATATTTCTTTTGTTATTGATTATTAATTTAAGAATTTCTTTTAAATGGAATAAAAACTTGTGCAAAACTTTATCTATATTTGTATATCTATAATAGACTAGACAATTGTACAATTTTGTATTTACATATAAGATATTTAATAACCAGGTACTAACAGTAATGATGGGTGGTGCATGGTTTGAAAAATACTTTGGTAAAGATCCATCAGACGAAGATTTGTTGAATATAGCAATTAAACAAGTTAAAGAAATCCTGAATATTAAAAAAGAGCCCATAGCCTTTAATGTGGCCATTCTGAAAGACTGTATTCCCCAACATGTAGTGGGTCACGCACAACGTTTAAATCATATCCATGATTATATTTCTTCACGTAGTATCCCTCTAGCATTGTGTGGTTCTTCTTACCAAGGTGTGGGAATCAATGACGTTATTCTGTCAGCAAAAGAAGCTGTTTCTAAGATTGTGAAACATTTAAATGAACTAAAAAACTGAAATGACACTACAACAATTTTGTACAGCATTTTGTAGCCACTAATCACGATATTATTAATGTTATAGAAAAAACAAAACTTGATATATAAAAAACATGCATTATTTTGTAAGCTAATTTCAAAAAAGCTTATAAAAAAGATTTAGCTGTGTGACAAAGAATGAAAAATAGGGAAACTATTATATAATAATTTTATAAATAATAAATAAATAAAAATACATCTCTAATCAAATGAAAAATCAATAAAAATTGCAAATAATTTATTATAGCAATTAACAACAATGCCTTATACTTCATGTACATGTGTGTTTCTTACGTATACACTACTTAATAAAATAAAATGTAAAAACATAAAATATTTATATGTTAATAAGAAATTGTTCAATGAAGATTTAACTTGATCATTTAGAAAAAAAAAAAAATATAAAAATTGAAAAGCATAATATATACCAATTGTATTAGGTAATAATAATTTAGTATTCTTTACGTTTTAGTTTTATTCTCTTGAATAATAGTTAAACAATGTCCAGTCTTTGCATGTACATGGAATGTAAACATAAAAAGTATGGACATGCTTAAGGCATGCAAAGTAAGGCATGCAGATATTAAAAGATACATATTTGTATTATAAATTACTATATAATGTGCTATATATCAGATATTTTTTAATGTAAACTTTTTTCTTCTTGAAGAAATAATTTATAAAGAATAAACAAATTAAAAAATAAATAAATAAAAAAAGAAACAATAACTCTACATTCTTAAGCTCGGTACAAATAATGCAATGTTATAGCATTGCACAAACCAAACAATGTTATAGAAAAATTGAAACATATTCTTGCTATGTTACTTATTAAAGTTTAAGCTTAATAACTTGCAATCTATATGGATGCATAACATTTTTTTTTTATATCTACTAATGCTCCTTTCTTAATTAAAAAGAAAAAAATATTATTGAAAATCACATAGATTGCATCAATCAGACAAAATCATATTAAAAACATAATATAAACATAATTCTACTGGCTAACAGTACCTGCATATTTAACTTCATCAAATGCTTTTCTTGCTTTCTTTAATTCTTCATTCATTGTTAGAAGATCTTTCACTCTGGCATACTTGCGTGGATCTTTTCTAACTAAATAAATAAACACATACAGATATACGCATCATGAATATTTTATATTAGAAATATTTCCTTTTGTATTCGATGAAAGAAAGATTAATGTAATTTAAACATACCTAAAAAGACAATATCTTCTACTTGAACTCGTCCAGTACGTCCAATTTCCATAGCTCTATGGGTCATTTCTGTTATGAATTCGATGACAAGATCTTCGAGTAAATCAACGCTTTCAGTATAAGGATTTTGATCATCACCAAAGCCATACATCATACATCTAAGTTCTTTCGAAAAGAGACGTTTCCTTCCTCCTGGTAACGTACCACCGATAGCAATCTCAGCCTCTTCATCTTCGAACTAATAGTTACGAATTAATATTTTTTCGAAATATTTTTTCAAATAAATATTTTTATTATTACGTTAATAGTTTAATTTTTATCCGATTAAAATTTCTATTACAAATTTATAATTATTAATTCATAACTGAATGATCATAAAGTTACACGCTATTAAAATCTTTACCTGTTCGAAACCTTCTTCCGTAGCCATAACCTCTTCTTATCCCGCGTAAATTTATTTATAAATATTTTATTATAATTTATTATAAATTATATTTAATTAATTAAATAATAATAAACGCACGTATAAATGAATGAGAAAAGAAATATTTTATTGGTAACAATTCACGTAACAATTGTAAAATCACGTTAATAACTGTCAGTTATAACCAAGTAAAATACTTTGCAGTCTACTGATAGAGTGATGCCGATGTAACATAATTTTATCAATGTGTAAATTCACCTTTGACTATGTGTATCTATTAACGACAAAACATAAATGAAACTTATATCGAAAGCAACGCTGAAATAATTTTAAACAGTATTATTTGAACTCGATCTAATGTTATGAATGTCTATATTTGATGTGAGAAATTGGTTAGTAAAAATTTATCTAAAAAAAGAAAAAAAAGAATATTTAAAATGTTTACAATCTATTTCATCATATTATTGAAATTATCAAAACATATTTATAACTCTTAAGGAAACAATTATATCGACGTTTGACTTTTTTTAATTAAAAATAAACCATTATTATTGATTGTTTAAAAAAAATTTTAAAACATATACATATTATAATTAATATATATATATATAATTAATAAGATAATTTTCTTTATTTCAACATTTATATAAATAAAATATAATAATCAGAAAAACACTGAAAAATATATGATTAAATACGTATTATGTTCTCGACATGTTGAAATAAAAGTACGTAATGGCTCTGCGTCGATCGTGGACCGCGAAATATTAAGATTGATATTCATAACCTAAAAAACGCGTTCGGGTGTACATGTTTATACATTTTAATTCTTTAATTTCGATGTATGTTTTTTTTTTTGTATAAAATGTAATATTATTTATTAAGAAGATAATGTCATCTTCAGTTAACATAACGGAAATAACACAAGCAAAAACTTGGAAAGAATATAATCGATTGCAGAAGGAACAGAGAAAGCAATGGAAAGAGGAGAGGTTAATAAAGAAGTTGAAAAAAGAAGAGAAGAAAAATAACATTGAAAATGAAACGAAAAAGGAAGAGAGCGAAGCAAAAATTAAAAAAAAGAAAACTTCTACAATAACCATCGCGATACCTGGCTCGATTTTAGACAATGCACAATCTGCAGAATTGAGAACATATCTTGCAGGACAAATAGCACGTGCCGCATGTATTTACAAAGTAGATGAAATTGTCGTTTTCGATGACAAGGGTGTTATAACTGAAAGCGAAAAGAAAAAAGTGAGAACAGACGAGGTTTTAGGTGAAGGGAGAATTTGTTGCTTACAGTTAGTTAGAATATTACAATATTTAGAGTGTCCGCAATATCTTAGAAAACATTTCTTTCCTATTCACAAGGATTTACAATATGCGGGTGTATTGAATCCTTTGGATGCTCCTCATCATCTCAGACAACAAGATGTATCTCTTTATCGTGAGGGTGTAGTTAGTAATAAACCAGTAAAAACTGGGAAGGGTTCTCAAGTGAACGTAGGTCTTCTTAATGAGATCAGAGTGGACAAAGAATTGATGCCCGGCTTAAGGGTAACTGTGAAAATACCACCTAATCAGGAAAATCCAAAGAAAATGAAAGGAATTATAGTATCTCCAACAGAGCCAAAATCAGAGACAGGAATATATTGGGGATATAGCGTGAAATTAGCTAAGAATCTTTCAGAGGTGTTTAAAAAATGTTCTTATAAGGAAGGATACGACTTGACTATTGGTACTTCGGATAAAGGAACATCCATTGACGATATATCACCAAGAAGTCTGAAATATGATCATGCTTTGATAGTTTTTGGTGGTTTATCAGGATTAGAAGCTGCACTGGAAGTTGATTCAGATTTGCCAGATGAAGATCCATCATCTGTTTTTCATAAATATTTAAATATATGTCCTCATCAAGGATCAAGGACAATTAGGACAGAAGAAGCTCTTTTACTTTCTCTTGCAGAACTAAGGACTAAATTATTCCCAAAAAATCCTGTATTACCAAATGCTCAATTTGATAGTTTTGTTGAAGATTAAATAACATTGATATTTACATTATTAAAGTGATAAAAAATAATATCTAAGAATATTTGATAAAACTTTTGTTTGTAAAATATACTTAATATTTACAAAATGTTACTAATAAGATTTTATCTTCCATATTCTTCCTTTTTTGTAAATATTGAAAATATTTTTTTGGAATGTCTTCTATAAAAACATCATATTAATTATTCAATACACAATTTACAGCATCTTTCAAATCTTTTATAACTTTTGCTTGATCTGTAGCACCAATTACTGCTGTTCCAGATACTATCATATTTGCACCAGCCTATAAAAATATGAATGTTTAGTATCTTACAATAAGTAAAAATCAATATTTTATATATCAAAGATACCTTTGCGCAAGCTTCTATAGTAGTTGGGCCAACTCCACCATCAACTTCAATATCTAGAGTAGGATAATTTTTTCTAAGCCATGCTACTTTTGGCATCATTGATTCCATGAATTTTTGTCCTCCAAATCCTGGTTCTACTGTCATAACTAATATCATATCAGCTAAATCTACATAATCAACAACTACATCGACTGATGTACCTGGTTTAAGTGCAACTCCTACCTATAAACAAAACAATTTACTTATCATATATACATTAGATATTATATACAAAGTATTACAAAAAATTTACTTTCATTCCTGCTTCTCTAACTTTTCTACAAACTGATGGAACATCTTTTATTGGTTCTACGTGGAACGTATATTGATTTACACCAGCATCAGCCATTGGTTCGATCCACTAAAACATATCATTGTTATTAGAAGATAGAACATTATCATGCGTACAGATAATGAGTAAGAGAAAATGCATTGAGTACAAATTAATACCTGTTCTGGATTAGATACCATCATATGTGTTTCAAAAAATGCATTTTTTATTTTATTACGAAGACACTTTACAAGAGGATGACCAAAAGTAAGGTTAGGAACAAAATGACCATCCATTACATCTAAATGAAGATAATCAGCACCATTATTTAACAAACGTTGCGATTCCTCAGAAAGTTGTGCTAAATCGGCATTTAAAATCGAAGGTCCAATTTTTGCTGTTAAACTTTTAGCCATGGCGATTAAAATGCTATTAAAAATGTTTTAAATTTACAAAGATTTTACAACAACGTGTTTCAAAATAAGAAAAAAGTCATCGACTTCAGAAGTATTTTCATAAAGATCTAACATTTACTTTATCTGATTTCCGTATAAATCTATCAATCAAAAGATATAGATTTTTGGAGATTACGATTATGAAGGAATGATTTTAAAAAAGAAAAAAAAATTAAATGAAATAAAAATTAGTATATATTATGTACAGAATTAATGAAAATGTTAGAATAAAAATTTTAACAAGTAATAATTGATTCATAAATAACGTAATGCGCGCTAAGAAAACTTCAAACGTATTGGTCAACCTACGCACAAGCCGGTTTGATAACTCGATATTTCGACCAGTAGCATGCCTGAAAGACGCAAAGTTTCATTCTACATATATATTAGTGCACTTTTATTGGAACACCGAGTACACGCTATACGAGTATAGATCAAGTGCATACTGCCGGTGTATGGTGTTGATTGATCTATTCTGCCGGTGCGTCTTTGTGATGTTGTGTTGTTTATTACTGTAAGGAGATTAATTTCAATAAATAAGAAATTTCACTTTTATTGAAAATTATGAAGTACATTTTAGTGACTGGTGGTGTTATAAGTGGTGTTGGAAAGGGTGTAATAGCTAGCTCTTTTGGTACAATATTGAAACATTGCGGTATTCAAGTAACATCCATCAAAATAGACCCTTATATAAATATAGATGCCGGTACTTTTTCGCCATACGAGCACGGTAAAAAAATAAAACATGCAAAATTTATTCCTTCATTATTTTCCTTACATTTTCTTCATATTCATTGATAATTTTTTTTTTTTTTATTTGCAAAAGTTCTATGACAAGAAAGCATGTATTATTGGCAGCCATATTGTATGCTTTTACCCGCCTTGGTCCCATGACCACGTGCTTTTCTATTAAATTTTTTTTCTTTTTTTCTCTTTTTATCATCATTATTATTATTATTACTTTCTTTTTTATTTTTGTAACAACAAACTTTTTTTCACACAAATTCAAAAAATTCAATTATTAAAGGTAGACACTAATTTAATATCTTTTTCTCTCAAATTAAGGTTTATAGAAGTATACTTATTGATAAATATTTCTTGGTACTTTGCTTTCTTTGATATCTTTCGTTTGAAATTGCTTTGTAACAAAGACTTGTTTATTGAAATCGTATACTTTGATTATCAATTGTAATTATTTCTCTATTGTCTTATAACGTATCCAATGTTAAGAATGATACTAATATACATACATATATATATATATATATATATATGTATATATATATACATATATATATATGATGATGTTTTCATTATAGGAGAAGTTTATGTGCTTGACGATGGAGGAGAGGTAGATCTAGATTTAGGAAATTATGAACGTTTCTTAGATATTATATTACATAAGGAAAATAATATTACTACAGGAAAAATTTATCAACATGTTATTACAAAAGAAAGACGTGGTGATTATTTAGGCAAGACAGTACAAGGTATACAGAGAAATTTTAATTATAGGGAATTGGGGACGGGGAGAAGGAAAGTTTAATAAGTATATAAATAATTGAAATTGCCTTTTTTAGTGGTCCCACATATTACAGATGCTATACAAGAATGGGTTGAAAAAGTTGCTAATCAGTCAGTGTCAGAAGATGGTGGTAAACCAGAGGTAATATATACTTATGAAATAATTGAATTAAATTATGAAATAATTTTGTTACCTAACTTATATTTGATATTTATTATCATTTTTCTTTATAATATTAGGTATGTATCATTGAACTTGGTGGAACAATTGGAGATATTGAAGGGATGCCATTTGTAGAAGCTTTCAGGCAATTTCAATTCAGAGTTAAAAGGGAAAACTTTTGCTGTGCTCATGTCTCCTTAGTACCACAGGTATACGAGAATTTCAATTACTATTATTTTCTTTTTTAGCTATAGCACATGTCCCTGAATTTGCGCCAAAATACCAACTAATATTATTTTTGGATCAGTAATGATGTAAATGATTTTGATATAATAATAAATGAGTTGTTGTAAATGATTTTGATATAATAATAAATAAAAAGTGTATAAATCAATAGAATATTATGGATTTTAGCCACGTTGTACCGGAGAACCAAAAACTAAGCCAACTCAGTCAAGTGTAAGGGAATTACGTGGTTTAGGATTATCTCCTGATCTGATAGTTTGTCGATCTGAAAAACCTATAGGTAATGCAGTAAAAGAAAAGATCTCAAGTTTTTGTCATGTGGAGCCTGACCAGGTAATGCGTTTTTTAAAAATATTTTTAATAAATATATTTATTAATTGTATGAGAAATATCAAGAATAATTAAAATATTCTTTTGACAGGTGATAACTATCCATGATTTATCATCTATATATCGTGTACCCCTTCTTCTGGAAAATCAAGGTGTCATAGAATTTCTTAATGATAGATTACAATTAAACATTAGTATGCCACGTCCTCGTTATTTTATGCGTAAGTGGAAGGATTTGGCTGATCGAATTGATCATTTAAGAAAAGATGTAAATATTGCTTTAGTAGGAAAATATACAAAGTTAGAAGATTCATACGCCTCAATTATAAAAGCATTACAACATGCTTCTGTGCAAGTTGGCTATCGTTTAAATTTAACGGTAAGATATTTTTTTTTGCTATTACATAATACGTACTGTTGTCATTTTTGTTTGCCTTTTTAAATAGAAGATCATTTCAGTTCATAGAAGCTGCTAATTTAGAAAATTCCACTAAAGCAGATAACCCAGTTTTGTATCATGAAACTTGGCAAAAGCTTTGTAAAAGCAAGTAAGTTTAAAATTCTACCATCCTTGTATTAGAGTATAATAAGAATATCATAAGAATATTATATATAACTCTGTAATATTACAGTGGTGTGGTAGTACCTGGTGGTTTTGGTAGGAGAGGCATAGAAGGAAAAATGGAAGCATGTAAATGGTGTAGAACAAATGATGTACCATTTTTAGGTATATGTTTGGGTTTGCAAGTTGCAGTTATAGAATTTGCAAGAAACATTTTAAATTTAGAAACAGCACATAGTACAGAAATTGATCCAAACACGGATCATCCAATTATAATAGATATGCCAGAACATAATCCAGGTCAAATGGGTGGAACTATGAGACTTGGAAAAAGATATACGCGTTTTAAACCAGAGGAAGAATCTGTTTTAAGTAAATGGATTGAAATTGATCATTAAAATACTTATTATTAAGTGTTCATTTTATAATATTCATATAATTTCGCAGAACAATTGTATGGAAATAAAAACTATATAGAAGAGAGACATAGACACAGATATGAAGTAAATCCACAATATGTTGAAGTTTTAGAAGAGGCAGGATTAATATTTGTGGGTAAGTTTAAGCTAAATAATTAATATCGAATCACTAATAATCCTTATTATATTTTGTACTTCATTCTAACGTTTGAAAAATATAAATTCTATACGTTAGGTAGAGACGAAGACAATGTTCGTATGGAGATAGCAGAGCTAACTGGACATAATTATTATGTTGCTACGCAATTTCATCCAGAATATTTATCGAGACCTTTAAAACCATCACCTCCATTCTTAGGATTAATATTGGCTAGTATTGGTAAATTAAAACATTATTTAGCAAGAGGATGTAAATTATCGCCACGTGAACTTAGTGATAATGAATCTGGTAATATATCATTTTATTATGTAGCATATGGAAATATATACAAGTATATTTTAATATATTACAATTTTATTTTATTTTATTTTATTTCATTTTTTTTTTTCTTTAGATATAGAATATCCACTTATTGATTCAACAAAGTTACAGTCATCAAATGAAGCAAGTAAAAGTAATAGTGTTGTTTCTAGTAATGATTAATGGAAGTTTTAAATATTTTGACATAAGATATATATTTATATTAAGTAGGCAATATAGGTTTAACTACGATATAATCTACATTTTTTAATATATATATATATATATTTAAATGTATTGGTATATATTTAAAAAATGTATATTATATATTATATTCCAAATTAATTATTTTCAATTTTTTTTTTGTTTATAAATCTCGTATTTATATATAAAGTTTTTCCTATAGCTGAAACCAAACTGCCCGCACACAAATGTATGAAAAATATATTGTTTCACATTTCTAATTATATCGATATCTAAAAATATATAGATATCATCCTATATATTAATTTTATCATTTAGTTTCTCTTGTTTAATAAGAATAAGATTTATATTATTTTTCTATTGAAAAGTATCAAAAAGTTTTTTCTGTTTCTGAATGTGCTCCCATCAGTTAACTCCAAAAAATACTATATATTATTGAAGTTATTGTTATGCACGTTTATATATAATAAAAGAAAATTATATAAGATAGAAAACAAAGTGAAGAAAGTTGCTTTAGTTTATTTTCTTACTAGACTTGTAAAACTGTACCTATATAGAAAAATTGAAGAGAGAAAATTTGAATAAAATTCATGTTATTATTTGTCACTTTGCGTATGTTTGCTTTTATTTGACAATAAATGTCATCCTCTAATTACAATTTATCAAATACAATTTAATGGTAAAAGTAATAAAAGTTGCTCATATAAAAATGTCATATTTACATACATTTCCATCATAATATCTTGAGTATATAATTAAGAATAGTACACTAGATTATAATTATTAAGTTATCAATGTGGATTTATATTTCCTAAATTATGTGAAACTAAAGATATGTAAAAACATAATTAACGAATAAAAATAAAACAAATAAAAATTAAAATAATAAAAAAAAATAAAAAAAATAAAAAAAAAAAAAAAAAAAGGAAGAAAAAATGCACTTTGGACGGTAAACATTACAACTAATACTGAGTGAGTTAGTATAAAAAAAAAAAATAAAGATGTGTAACTGTAATAAAATCGTTTTTGTACATTGAAAAAAAGTTTTGATCATATGAGAAATTCTTAAAATTAAATCACTAAATGACATAAAAAGATCAATATAAATTTTAACGACGTCTGCGTTAGTTTAAAGAAAATTAATATAAAAATGATTCGACAAAGAAATCGAAAAATAAAATCTGGTTTAATAATGCTGAGTTATTTCTGCTATTTTGACTTTGATTAATAATTATAAATTATATTTTTCACTAATCATAATATCAGATGTACAGATAATAAATATTAATATATCTACAATTACAGTATAAATACTTATATTCATACAAGTATTTATATGAAATAATTGAGCCATTTGTAATAACTTTTGAAAATAATCATATTTTCGTAATTAAAAAATATGGCTCGTTAGTCCCTGCACTAATGAAATTCTTATATAGTTTTTCATTTTATCGATCGTGGCAATTCATTCGACATTTATTTTCTGAGCTCGTTGAACTTAAAGTTCTCTTTTATAATTAATAATAGCGATTATTGTAACATTTTCGTTGATTTATCTTATAACTGTATAAAGTGGTAGACAGTCATTTCTACTATGTCAAACACTTATCATTAATTTTATAATTACATGGGAATAGAGAAACAAAGTACAAATTTTGGACTCTCATCTCCCTATGTATACTTTTTTTCTCTTAATAATATATCCAAAGATAAACGTGCACTCGCTAATTATATTACCTTATAGATTTATATAAACCATTCTTTTTTCTTTTGAACTTGATGGCCGGTCGTAGAGTGAACAACCGCTGAATCTGGATCTAATGCAATTTCAGCACCTTTATCTTCTTGAGTCAAATATTCGCCTTTATGCCTCGACATGTATCTTCCTATAAGTACTGCCATAATTACTAAAGCTATAATAATAACAGCTAATATACTTCCTAAAATTGCAGTATCAACTTCATTATAAGCAGCTCTAACTTTGTCTTCGTCTACATCAGGTGGCGGTCGTGTTTCAACAATATTTGGTGGATGTGTAATTGGTTCTACTCCGCAAAAATCTTCGGTAACAGGTGTATTACTTAAAGATCTAACATTTCCTGGTCCATTCTCTTGAAATAATAATTTCAAAGGATATATATCATCGAATTCGACTCTAGATATACAACCTGCAAATCCTTCCGTCATAGATTCATTTTTACCTATATACATATATTGAATATTATTGAATTGAGCATCAGCGGAGGTTTTAATATCAAAATGGAATTCTTTAGGTTCATAATTATCAACTTTTAATACAAGAGTGGATCCAGAATTTTTTCTACTTAATCTAACGTCATGATACTGTCCTAAACCAAAATGTTTCGATGGAAATATAACTTCTTGTCGTTCGAAACCGAAATCAAAAACGACACGTAAATGACCGCTGTTAGAAACCATGATCGTCATATATTCTCCTGAAATATTTGAGAACAGACCAAGTAAGAAACCTTTAGGATTAGTCGTTGTAAATCCAACTCTAATCTTTTCAGAAATAGTGGAACGCCAACTGCCCATAAAGTCATACTTTATCATTGAGTTTGAACGCATGTTAACGCCGATTTCTGAAACACACGTAAATAAAAAAAAAAAAAAAAAAAAAATAACAAATGGTGAGACATATATTTTTTTACAAAATTTATAGACATATAAAATTCTAATTATATTTACCATCCGCACAAATTGGTCCTTTGAATGCAGTCCAACGACAATCACACCAATATCCATTATATTTTTCATGACATGTACCATTGTTAAGACACGGATTACTTTCACATCGTCCCACACAATCTTCACTTATACCATATATTCCACGTCTCGCATAACTTCTAATATCTTGTAATTGTCCATTTAAAAGCAAAGCTCTTACACAACCTACAAAGCCGTCCCTATAATCAACAGTTGCTCCAATCACCAAATCTGAAGTAAGATGAAGTGCACGAACTGGTCCAGGAGGTTCTCTGACTTCGTTTTTCAATGCTCCATCAATAATTATTCTAGCTTCTTTACGATTTCTTTCAACGGATACGGAATGCCATTGATTGTCAGCTAATTTATAAGACGTGTCAACGCTTACGGCAAGTGGTCCACCACCTGCTTGATATTGGAAATGTATCTGATTTCCACTATTAATAGAAACTTTGATATAATCCGTAGGCCCTTTGCTATGAATAATTACAGCATTTTCAATCGTCGTCTTAAATTCAAAATAGATATCCCCACTATGGCCGATATCAAAAGTAGGTAGATTAATTGTAGCGTCAACAATGCGGAATGTTACTACATTCTTGAATAAATCTATAACAAAAATAATAATATATAACATTATGAATAAGTTAAAAGATTTTTTTTGTAACGTAAGTCCACGTTACAATTAATATCGTAGCGATTACACAGATATCGAATATGTTTGCACAATGTTATTTTAACTAGCTTAATATATAATTGTTTATAACAAATTATATACAATAGAGCGTCTCTCGCACGTACATCAGATACGACGCTTACGTTAGTACAACAAAGTGCCTATATACATGAATTAATTCTGATCATAATTATTTCTAATCCATTAAGGACTGAATTCATGCAGGCTTTTCGGTCATTTGCATGGAAATGGTATAATTTAGCGATACGTAAATCAAATATAAAAATACACAGCAGATATGTACAAAAATTAGCACAGATAAGATAATAATTATCGGAAGGATATGAGTCGTCCTAGCTCGAAAAGACCAAGATTGACTCATGGATAGCCAAAAGTTTGTTATAGGATACTTTTTAAATTTCTATTCATATGTACTAATTATAATAAGTAAAAACAAATCACAGACTTTGTACAAATATATAAATACCGTGATTGTCGGATTAAAAAAAAAAAAAAAAAAAAAAAAAAGTTCCACTGAAAAACGATCCTACCTCTTACCTGGTCCTATTTTAATAGAATACCAAGGTAACTCAGATCCTTATAAACAGTTGAAAATGAATTAACTAAAATTATAAAATGTTAATATAAAAAGATAATATAAATTTTACGTACCATCTCCTTCACAAATAAGTGGTCCCAGGGTATATTTGCCTTCTTTTTCATCCAATGGTGTACCAGTATCTCCAAAACGTAATTGCTTCACAGGAAGATATTCCTTTTCCGTTATATCTCCGCTATCTTCAAGTCTACCTTCTAAGTCAGCATCACAGTTACACCATTTACTTGGATCCGCACAATTTCCAAGTATTCCACATTCACATTTACGTGAACCAGGTAAAGCACCACCCCAATAATCCATTTTTTGATTCTGCCTGCTCACCCACCATGAATTTGGTTTAAAATAATCATTCTGCGGAACTAAAGGTTATAATTAGTATTAATAATTTTAATGATAATCTGATAATATTAATAAATCTGAGATAAAATAGAACAAGTGTAATAAAATATTTTTCTTTTTTTTTTACCTGGTGAATTAAATAATTTCGAGTGTTTACATTCGTATTTTATTCTTTGACTACATCTCGTTGATCGATTCAAAAAAGCTTCTATTTGATCGAGATCAGCGTCATAATTAATATCTTGAATAAAACTGCCTGGTTCTTCAAATCCATCAACCGGTGTTGGAACTTCGTTACTATGCCTTAGAACTGTCATTACACGTCCATCGGCAAAAAATTCACAAGTAACTGGAAAGGGTGCTAATGGACCACTTCCGTCAACGTCAATTTTAATTTCTGCCCTTTGATTTACCGAATTCATATTTTTATATGCCTCACAAGATAAAGGATGTAATGCTAATTAAAATAGAGATAATGATTTAATTATATAATATTTGTAATATATAATAAAATGACTTATTAATTTTCTATAGAATAATTACATGTATGACAAACAGCTCCTGAATAACCAGTATTGGCACAATCACAGAAGAATTCATCAGAATTTTGAGTGCATATACCAGAGTGTTTACAAGGATTAGGATTACAACGATCGACCATTTGACAAGCATCAAACACAATTTCATTTTTACAACAATATTCCTCTTCTTTCCAATCAGTTGGTAACTTATAATTTCCATCAATACTTATCATTCTCATACAGCCAACAAATCCACGGTTACTTTCTTCTCCCGTCATACCACCAATCCAATATAATGATCCAGTTATCATTTCCAAAATACGTTTAGTTCTCATAGGTCTACCATCGACATTTAGTATAAGAGTATTTTTTGCCACTGTTAAGATAACCTGATGCCACTTTCCGTCATTAAATTTTTCATCAAAATTATCTAATATCACTTTTGAATTTCCTTTTGTTTCGATTTCGATTTTCAATTTGCCTTGTTCTAAGAATAGCTAGAAATAAATATTGAGAAATTTATTAACTAAAGTATCTTGTATATATCTACTTTATGATGAATCAGTAGATATTATATATTTATAAATATTTAATATACTAACTTTAACGTATCCTGGAGATGTAAATCTATGATAAAGAATTATTCCTCGATCTTCGTAACTTCGAAATCCAAGAGAAACATTCAACGAAGAAATACCCTCGTAACCTTTAAGCCGAGCATAAGATCCAGGCGTTAAAAATGATATAGGAATGACAGGAGGTTCAGGACAATTGTAAATTGTGTTGATCTTGTGATATTTTAGATTTTCTCCGGTAAGTTCAGTTTCTCTTAATTCATGAATAATATTGGTAGTATTTAAATAAAAATTTTCTATACACCCTGTGAAATTTTGACCTATTACTAAACCTTCCTGCTTGTTAGGTACTCCACCAATATAAAGCTGTAAAAGTAGAATAAACATAATTGTTATATATGACAATAGAGTAAATATAATTATTATTTAGATATTTACACATACGCGCGTACACGCTTACATCCTCGTTAACTCATTCATCCAAACACATACATATACACAAAATAATTCACAAAGAAAGATCTTAAATTTGAGATAATTTTTGAAGTCATTATCTAAGTTAAAAAAATTCATATACACATAGATCCATTTTCGAATGGTTATGGAACGTGGTTGTTGGATTTTGCAATGATAATTAAAATTTTATTACAATAATTCACATTTTGAGATAGATAACTGATAAACTTACATTTTATATCTTCAGAAATACATATATCTAACATTTTTGACATAAAATGTTACCATATATTTTCAATGTATGGTAACATTTTAATGTCATTTCAAATATTTTTTGACATTAAAATGTTACCATATATTTTTAAATATAACATCTTCTGCTTCATGATACTGTTCTGCTCGTATATAACACAATTATGCCGGATTTAGTTATACCAAATAAATGAATCTCATCAGAAATCATATCGCTAATTTATGATCTTTCTTCGTAAATCATGTATTCGTGTATATACATATATATATTGAACTTACTGCTCTATTTAAATCTAGACGATGAAATTCTCCTTTAACTCTTCCTTTTATTAACACTCTATCAACAGAAAAAGAAATATTTTTTCTATTTCTTGATATAACAACATCATGCCACATGTTATCATCCAAAAGACTTCCTACTGATAAACTCGTCATAATACCAGATCCAAGATCGATATTTAATAACATTCTATTGTCACGTAATTGTAATGCAATAAAGTCTCCTTGTGTACCACGTGAATACATTAGTATACCATCTGCAAAATTTGTTTTAAAACGAAAACGTATAGAATGTCTATCTGTTTCAATTGGTTCTCTTAACAAATCCAAACGAACCAAAGATGATCCATTAAATGATAATACATCGGATTCTGTAAATATAAAGTAAAATTATTGTAATTGTTTATATCATGCGACATTATCAATTTACATATTGCTTCATGATTTTAATATTTACCATAATCACATCCGTATAATTCAAGTCTCAATGATATTCTATCTCGCCATCTGGTTGGATTTATTCTTATCCATTGTGCAATAATTGGAACTTCAAATTTATTAAGTTTGATAGTATCTCCATTTGTGTTTCCTTTGAACATCTAAAGAGGAACAATATTATAAATTTAATAAAATAAACATATTGATTATATTGATAAATAAATTTATATGTTTTTAATATTTGATATAGTAAAAGGAAAATAATAAAAACAAATAATATGTTATTATGGATAAAATTTTACTTTAGCAATAATCATATTCGTAAACAACTAAATGAGAATGAACAGGAACATGCAAATAAATATTGTTAGTATTGTTAGGATATCAATTGTTAATTAAAGCATTTAAGCGCAATGAAACATTCCAGACGATATAAACTATAAATAATATGATTTCTAATAGAAAGGAGGTATCGTTTCTTAAAAAATTATTTGTACTAATCATTGAATAACTGTAACAAAAGGATTTTGGAGGAGATTAGGTGTCAACATTTTAGATTTGAATAATTCAGAAATCTACAGGAAGGTAACGATAAAATAAAAATCTTTTACTGGTATACATTTTATCAACCCAAAGATGTTAATCAAACCCTGCATAAAAATATACATGTAGTCAATTCTATGTACTTTCCAAAAATAAAGTCTCAACTTTTATTTTTATTTTTTATTTCTTTTTTTTTATCCAATACCTCATCTACACCATCTTGACCTTCGTAACTAGTCCAGGCTTGACCATCATCAGAATATTGAACAATATATTCTGTCACATATTCATTAGTATGGGCACGACCCCGTGTTGCGACGCTGCGTATCTCGTATCTGTCGCTCAGTTCCACAGTAAGATGTTGATCATAACTGCTAAGTTCTGGTGACCACGCAGATTCCCCTGTAAAGCCCAGCCCCGTGTCCAGATGTAAGAGTAGAGTGAAAGCAAAGCAGATAAATGATGTGGCATATGTGGCAATGAATATATCAATAATTAAAATATTAAATTATTTTTACTAATAATGATAATGAATGTATATTTTTATGATATTCTTTGTTCATCATATATTATATCATTTATTAAACGATAGTATAATGCAAAATATAGAAATAGTATTGCGTTACTAACACATTGATGTCATGAAATGAAATATCTCGTTTAATACTTCATTTATTGTAAATTTTTAAATATCACCAATATGCTAAAATGGTCTGACAGTTAGTATTTTTAATCTGAAAAATATTTGACGTCAATGTATTAGTTTGTATTATAATAGTACAACTGTGAAAATATTAAAGAACATTATTCTTTTGCTATAACTATTATATTTCTATGAAAATGCATTGACTTCTTACCATCAATTTCCAAATGATTTAACTCTGGTGTTATTATGAATATGATGAATATTAATTAGATGTTATGAACTGATAAGCATCATGCAAATATAAATTGCTAGCGCATGCATTGAAAACCTACCTTTACATTTAAATAGTAGCATATTGTGAATATTTCTTGTTATATGTTATCAATTATATTAATAAAAAGTTATAGATTAATTTGAAGTTAATACTTATAATTTATTAAACTTTCAATGTTAATCTAATGGTTCTGTATTAAGTTATATACATGCTGATTTTCTACATTAAAATTTATATACATGTTATTAAAACCAAAATAATAGGCTACACAGCGAATGAGTAACTTACCTTGATATTACCAGATTCTTCTTTAAAATCCACATAATCAAGACCATTGGTACCATAGCTGATACCATATTCCATAACATACTCATTCTTATGAGCTCTTCCCTGGGTTGCCACAGCCGTGATATTCATTACTTGACCCAAGTCAATAATCAGGTATTGGCCAAAGTCTGAGCTGCTAGCCGTCCATGCGTTTCCGCCTATGCCACAACATGTATGCATGCATGCAACTCAAAGTGTACTTAAAAATGCAATTATATCTAACAGAGATAAATAGATACTTGAAAGCTAGAATTTAACTGTCCTTGAGTCAATATTTTTTGGGTGTGTAAAGTATCACAAAAAAAAAAAAAAAAAAAAAAAAAAAAAAAAAAAAAAAAAGTGAATAATATATTTTACTACATTAAAATGAATATAGAATAATAGTCTACATACAAACATTTACACTACAAATATCAAAACTATGTTGTGGTGTGATTTTTTGTTTCTTTCTTTTTTTGTTCTATTTAAAATATATTTAAGTATATATAGTATATCATATAAGTTAAAGATTTCATATATTTAACTTAAATAGGTTAATGCTCATTAACAAGATTATGTCAGATGTGTACTGATATGGTATCTCCACTAATCAATAAACTTTCTTCAATATATTTTAATGAACTCCAATAAAAATAAATAACTTTTTTTTTTTTGTAAAGCAAACATTTTATTATCTATTAGAAGATAAGTTACAAAATTACATGTTATTTTATATAAATTTATTTTCCCATAGAATGAAAATTATGTACATTGTACAATATTATTGTATAGCTTTGTTAGAGATGTTTAAGGTTTCTCATTTTTACTAAAATACTTTTTCACATACTGTTCATCTTCTGAATGCATCGGTATAGCGTTTACTAAAAGTTTATTATAATCTAACAGTTCAAACATTTTATTTTGTGATTTAGGTGCTATTCCATTTTCTTGCAAAGCTACAGCAACGCAATGCTCCGAGTCTAATAATGATTCTTCAAATAACCAATTTTGTTTATTTCCTTTCTGATATAGCACAGTATCGCATACTAATTTATTGGGAACTAATTTTGAATTTGTTTTAAAATCGATTGTTCTAAGATCTGTAACTATTCCTATTCCCAAAGCTTTAACAAAACTTTCTTTTAAAGCCCAATGCCTACAGAACATAGAAATTTGTTCAACTTCCAAGCAAGTTGGAGTACCACGAATTTCATCCCATTCAGAAGATGAGAAATTTCTATTCATAATACGAAAAAATTCAGATAATCGTTTACCACCTGTATATTCTAATTTCATGATATCTACACCCAATAATACATCTCTAATTTCACCTGCTAAAACACTATAATATCCTTGATGGGAAACATTAAAGCTAATATTTATTGGAGAGTTCTTTAAAATAGGTTTATTATTGTTATCTCTTGTAAATAATATTTTATCATATGGAATATTTGTATAATCATTAACAAACTTTCTCATTAATAATCTACCTATGAGAGAAGCCCTAACATCCTTTCGAAATACAAATCTATCTAATCTTTCTTTCTCTTCTAGTTGTACACAAGAAATTGCATGTGAAAATTCTTTTTCACTTGGATTCCATTCTTTCCAATTAAATGCCCAACGAACACTTTGACTCATTTTATCGATAATGATATTATATCTTTTCATTTAATTAAATTGTTATAAAATACGTAATATTTCTACTCTCTTTTTGTACGGCCTTATTATTGTTCTTTATTAGTATCCACCTGAAGCAAATATACAAAATATACTTGATATTTTAATACAATTTACTTTTCTTTAAGCAAAAAATTAATATAAAACTTTGTAATATGTATGAATCAGAAGAGAGATATTGAAATAGTATCTCATAATTGAGTGTGGGTGTGTTGAGGAGAAGATTATTGTACTTAATTTGGGCGTGCCTTAGAAATTTACTCATTAATACTTTTCTTTTTTTTTTTTTTTTAGACACATAAGAAGATAGTAGAGATCACCAATAGATAAAAGCAATTGTAGTGTGCAACAGAAGATAGCAAGATAGATTTAAAGAAAATAGCTAGGCAAGCAAGAAGCTAATATACTTTATGCAGTATCACAAAATATTCAGATAATTTTATAGAGGAAATGATAACTCACACCATTTAATATAAAGCTTAAGATATAGAAATGAATCATAAAAATACACATTTATATAAATAAATTTATAAATCATACCGTTAAGTCTTGCATTGTTAGGTCCTCTTTCCGGTAAAGAAGTAGTTGCTGTTAAATGAGCTCTATCCAAAAGAGGCACATTACATTCGTAATCATCTAAAAATCAATGATAATAAACATTAGAAAGAGATCATAAAGACTGGCATCTTTTCAATAGCATAAAAATGTAACATTTGAATTTATTCGTTCATATTGATTATTATAAAATTGATTTGAAGAACGTTACAATCATATTCTATATTATTTTAATAATAATTACGAATTAATCAGTATTCAATTCATTCGTTTACAAATGAGTATAATATAAATAAACAAAAATATCGTCGAGCATACGCTTGCGCGAATCTTCGATCATATAGCCTATTTAAAAGGTTATATAATTTAATAATAATAATTTTTGTTTGAAATATGTATATCATGAATAAACGTTTATATGTCATTTCGATTATTTCGATGAAACGTAATGGTAAGAATTAAAATTTTTTAATGAGTACTGTCATATCGTCAATTCGAACGCCATGTTCAAGTGGGCTTGGTCGTAGGAGTCACGCTTGAAACATGTCGCGCGCTGATTATCTTCGTAAAATCAACAATTCTTACTTACATGCGTTTGTCAATGAATTTGCCGCAAGAGCAAAGACGACCACAAAACAATTGAAAGTGTTCATCCTTTCATTGCCCTATTTAAATAAAAAAAACAATAATAAAGGAACGCAATAATGCGTATTCGCGTTCAAGAACACGCCACCGTAACCGTTTCAAAACTGTTTAAGTATACTTTTTACCAAATTCCCATCCGTTATAAGAGAAGGACTCACTCAATCGTTGTTACTACTACTACACTACTACTATTACTACTACTAATGGAACACATATGTATATAATGTGTGTCATATACAGACGTTACGTGATTTCACTTGAAAAAGGAATATGACGACGAAGCCACGCGTGTATCGATGTACCGTGTCGAAAGTAAAAACGATACGATATATCGAATTAGGACATTTCTCATATCGAGAATCGTTTTCACGTTGGTAACACTTGCGATAGATGGTGCAACATGTAACAGCTTGAGAAATAACGGTTATCGTGTATTTCCAACATGATAAAGGATGAACGAAGATAGACTATGATGAATTTTAATTGGGTATAGCGAAAAGAAAAAAAAGAAAAAAAACAAAAGAAAAAAGAAAAAGAAGAAGAAGAAAAAAAAAATAATAATAGGCGAGCCGCGATAATATTTCGTAAAAATGCTGAATAAAGGAATAAAACGCGATGGTTAAAGTCAAAAGAAAACGAAAAAGAAGAAAAAAAGAAGGAAAAAAAAGAAAAAAGGAAGAAAGAAAGAAAGAAAGAACAGTTGTATATGTAAATACGCTTAGACTTTGCAATATTATGGAAATCGCTTAATCGGCAAAGTACATATTTAAATTTGACTTTGAAATAACAACAAAGCAGTCGAAGTTCTTTATGCTATTGCGTACGTAAAATAGGACAGGTGGGATAGGATGGGTGAGGGGGGGGTCACTAAAAGGCAAATGAAGTTAGTTCCTGAGTATCGATCAAACTTCATGGATCATTATTTTTGATGGCTCAATAAATTATCTCAAGCTTGTATAGGCTAATGTGTATTAATATAAATTAATTCGAAGTAAAAAACGTATGTATGTAATCCGAGAATGTTTATAGTATTATTATTAAACGATTTGTTAGATATCGAAAAAAAGAGTTGAGAATAATTTTATTACGTGTATCATTGATTCTTTGAAAATGTAGCATTTTCATAAAGATCGATGAGCCGAGTTGAATATTTTTCGGTAAGTTCTTTTATATTTTCTATTTTTTTTTCTTTTTTTTTTTTTTTTTTTTTTTTTTTCCATAGAAAAATTATTCACGAATGAATATTTAAAGGTTATCCATAGTCGCTTAAAATAATTCTATTAATTCTACTGCATGATTTGTATTATATCACGATTAAGCTTTTTTTTTTTTTTTTATTACTTTTTCAAACTCGTATTAAATATTTCGCATTTATTTTAGATTATAATCGTCGAAATAATTTATGAAAAGCATTGTTTGTCCTTTATAAACATGTATCAATTTTTTTTCGATCGATATTGTTTGACGATATTATCTTGCTTTAGGATGAACAAATTTGAATTTCCCGAGAAAACAAAATGGTGGATTTATTTCGTGCCGTAACAAATTTTAACAAATGTGAATCGAAGATGAGCAAAAGTTCATATTTCCTATTGGTGATGTGTTTCCCTTCGCCCCCCCCCCACCCATTGAAATGGCGATCGTAAATTGATTATCCCAATTAACCGCGTGTGAAATAAACGCAACAAAGGACTTAACTGCCGTGAAAATTACCGTGAGTATAAAGGACATTTTGTAAAATTACGATAATGTTTCAAATTATAGATAAAATATTGTTGGTTATAATCGATTAAAGAGTTAAAGAGATTTGTTGAGTATGAAACGGGATGAGGTGGATTGGGTGATGAGGGATCAGTGGCGGGGGGGGGGGGGAGGTTGGGGTCCAAAGGGAAAAGGGATAGAAATTATTGCACAGTTATTTTTCGATCGTGATTTAAACTTTATTTAGCTTGAAAAACTCATTAAAAGTAAATCAACTTTTTCGAGAGTATTCAAGAGTGATGAATAACAGTACTCGTTTAGCGAAGCGTTCATTTCGAGCGGTCAAAATTGAATTTAGACGGTGAAACAAAAACGTTGTGGTTGCGTGAACAATTTCTTTTTTCTTTGCTTTTTTTTTTTTCTTTTCGAAATATCCTTTTTCATCAATGATTACGAGCGTACGTATCATTGTCGCATGCACTTTCGAATGATTTTAATAATTTCTAATTTGATTTCGAAGTAACGAATGAAAGATCGAACGAAAATTTAATCGAATGAAAATCGATTGAAAATTTAAATATCGATAGATCGGATAGATGGCGTAGCAGTGCACCGAACGATGAACGAGGAAATGGCGGATTTAGAGGAGATAGAATGGTTAGAAATGACGAAGAGTATGATATATAGTGAATTTGTAGCATATGATTTATATTTTTTTTTTTTATACAATAATGATCGAGATTGCTTATACATTCTTCTAAACGCATACATACACCGACACTAAACTTCGGGACGACCTCCTCTACGATTGGTCCGCTTCTATACTCGATTAAAATACGAATCATTCATATCCAGATTATTCGATCATCATCATCATCATCATCATCATCATTCTTATTTTGAATTCTAGATGCTTTGTTCTACGATCGACACGAATATATACTAATCGATTTGACGAATATATACAATATTTACAAGCTCTTCAGAGATACACAATTATATCCGACTTTGCAGTTCATCAATAATGTAATAACGAAGTCGAATAAAAGAAAAATATCCCACGACTAACTTTCCGGTAAGAGGACCGTCAAATCTGACGTTTGCATTCTTCCTTCGACTGTATCGATCGGCGTATCGGGCGTGTCCGGCACAACCAATGGTTCGCTCTGATAATTCGTCGAATTTTTACAAACTTCGCTTTCAACGTTGTACGAGCTTGCCGTTATCTTTGCCTCCGAGGAAGTCAAGTTCCTTGGAATAGTTCTTCCCGATAGAAGAAAAGAGATTCTCCGCCATCTTCCCAGATTTCTCTCGTTCATCTGGCACTCGACACGAGGAAGAAGTATTCTCCTATTTTCTTTTTTCTCTAATTCTTCCTCTTCCATTTCTTTTCTCCTTTTCTCTCGTCTCTTCTCGGTTCTATTTTTCCTCCTTTTACCTTCCACCTCCTCGATCTCGTTCAAGCTCTGCTTTTCCGAACGATCGACCGCTCGAGTAGCGTCCTTTTCTAAAATACGTAGAATCCTGGAGATACAGGTACTCGCCCGCAAGGACTCCTCGTCGTTTCTCTTACCACGCGGCGATACGATGCTTTTCATAGTCTCGACTATACGCTTTTTGATGTGCGAAATGTTCATCGATCGTATCTTAGAAACGTTTGATGTTGCATGATCTTTTGACAATGATTCTTCCCTTCTTACGATCTCCTCTCGTGTTTCCTGTGACGTTGGAAGAATTTTCATACGTGGAACTCGCCGTTTACTTAGCAGCCTCGTAACCACGCACTGGAATAAAATTTATTTTTAATTTTTCTTTTTTTTTTTCTTTTTTCTTCTCTCTCTCTCTCTTTCTCTCTCTAACTCGAGCTAAGATCTATACGATAAATTATTGGACAGTATATTAATTGAAAAAAAAAAAAAAAAAAAAAAAAAAAGAAATGAAAAAACAAAGTATTCACGATTACTTAATTCATTTAATTTTACAATAATAAATAAATGAAAATAATTTTTAATTTACATATTCGTTATTACATATTTTAATTTCAATAATTATAGAACAAGGAATTTAAAATCCATCATTTTTATCTTTTCTGATAATATTGTAATATTAATATAATTATTCTTTTTAATAGATCTTACCAATATGGATAGCAGAAGGAGAATCATCAAGGCAACTATGTACCAACGATCGATAATCCATCGTTGAAAGTTAGCAAGACTTGCATCTGATAGAAGAAGCCTTCTCAAGGTGGCCAGAGGGCCACTTGGATCAACCTATGCACGTACAAGGAAATAACTTACATAACATGACGTAAGTTATTCAATAATATAAATAATTTCATAAGCTTTCCTTTTTTCCTTTTCTTTTTCTTATATTTTATATTTTTATAATCGATATAAAAGAGAGAAGAATGTACCTCTCGGCATCTTTGAAAAACGTCGCAGTAACCATTGTAGTCGTTGCAAGGTGTACCAGGTTTTGAAAGCATGTCCGGTATATCGTAAGGAGCTGAATTCCAAGCAAAGGATGATCTGTAAAAAAGAATTTACTTTTTTAAAGTTTCTTCTTATCCTTTTAATCGAAGAAAGTGTTTGTACGCTCTCAACTTTAATTTAACTTTTTTTACACGGCTGAGAAAAACACTTTTCACATTTTTTATATATATATATATATTTGAAGATTGTCGTTGTCTAGTCATCGTCTCTCTCACTATTTGTGCTTCTCTCATTATTTAATGTTTAAATATTTTTTCATGTTGCTTAAGTTATCCATTAAATCCCTTATGAATTCATTCGAGTAGTCGAGATTACCGTGTTTTGTTTATAGCTCATACAATTTTAGATACTATAGCTCATACAATGTTAGGGTACTGCTAATGTATTTGCTTAAACAATAAGCCTAAAATCAATGTCTAAATTCTTTTCATAGTATTTTCTATTAAAAATTTTTAAAACAGGCTGATTCAATAATTCGATCGAAAGATTAGTATGCACTCGCGCGCACGCGTGTGTGCATGTGTATGTGTGTGTATATGTGTAATAAATTATTATAAATTTCATTGTTCTACCGACAATGAAAAACTTTTAATTCCAATTGTTTAAATTCCAATTATGAGATTATGTTTTAATTCCGAGAAAATGAAAGGTGTGTCAAATGAAAAAAAAAAAAAGAAAAAAAAAGAGTAAAAAAGAAAGTAATTCCATATGAAATAGTCGAGAAAATGAGATAAAAAATTGTTATAACTGTATTTCACATACAGTTTGAAATTTGAAATGTACATATATTTTATCAAATTTTAAAGATAATCTTAATCACGTTTCTTTTATTAATAGGATCATTACTAACTGAAAAGTTTTCATAGTGGAAGCTATAGACAAGATACTATTACGTATAACGATGATTTCTCTTACAAGCACGGTTGATCCTCTCCTGGTAATTTACAGCAGAGTTCACAGCTCTTGGTCGGTGGATCCTCTGGTCCTGCGATACACTGACAGGATTCCAAACCGTAAGCCAGGCAAATGCTGCCGGTGCATTCCTGAAAGCAATGCGAAGATCCGATAAACTACCACCATTGCTTTACAATTATCGCTCTATACAAGAGGACAATGATTTACAGGAGATATCAAAGGCGACGAGAGGGAATAGAGAGTGGAGTAGTCTATGGGATCGAAATGACGAAGGACGATACTTGAAACGTATGAATATCCCATGTTCATGATAGGACGAATTTAAGCTTTGTTCTGTTCGTCATATCTTCAATGACATTATCGTTTCATCGACTACAAGGATAGAGACAATAGTGTGTCAATTCGGTGATAGGTATAATCTCATCCGATGTCTCTTCAAGCACGCGATTGACGATCATCATAAAGATATATATATATATCTATATATATCTTTTTAGTTTACAGTTTTATAATTATCAATGTTAATTTTTACGTTAGTTCGTATTTAAGTATTGTATAATAATAACATTTCTAAATATTTTTTAATTGAAACAAATTTATTTCCAGACTGGCAAGACAAATTGCAAAGATAACTTATCTCATAGAGCAACAGAATGGATTGATTATTAAATGGTCCCTGCTTGTCAAGGAGAGAAAGAGAGAGTAGGAGAGAGAGTAGGAGAGAGAGAGAGAGAGACAGAGAGAGAGAGAGAGAGAGATACAGTCTGGTAAATGAGTATGTTACTACATTGTCGTAGGTAGGTTGGACGTAGGAAAATCGAGCTTACTATTTGTTTTTCGTCGAGGAGAAAGAGAGAATGGGTGCTTCGGGTAACGAGGATCAGATACATTCGATTCTATTCAGCCGAGTGGAAAACGTTGGTACGCGAAGAGGCAAGTCGACTGTTGAGGAAGGAAGAGGAAGTGGAAGAGGAGGAGGAGGAGGAGGAGAAGGAGGAGAGAAAGGGGTAGAGGGTACAGGGTAGAGGGTAGAGGGTAGAGGGTAGAGGGCTTTTCTCTCGTATGTACGAGCCGTGGAAATCGATATTCCCGAAATAGTCGGTTTCTAATTTGCAAGTACAATAACGTCGGTTGGTCGGTTGGTCGAAAGAGGAGATGAGAGAAGTGGAGAGGCGATGGATGCTAACAGAGAGAGAGAGAGAGAGAGAGAGAGAGAGAGAGAGGAGAGAGAGAGGAGAGTGTGTGAGCGGGAGAAAGCGAGAAAGAGAGAGAGAGAGAGAGAGAGAGAGAGAGAAGAGAGAGAGAGAGAGAAAATAGGGAGAGAAGTCAGCTGCCGCGCTACGTCCTCGAAAGTTTGCAATTTGCTTTGGCGTTTCCGCACCGTCGGCAACAATGAGACGTCGACGTCGCATCCTCGGCTCCACACCGAATTCGACGTTCTCTGAATCGAACAGAGTAAGGGGAGACGTTTGTACGTTCGCGTCAAGAAGAAAATTGTGTTTCTCTAACGAATACTTTAGATTATTTATGATTTCTTTTCTTTTCTTTTCTTTTTCTTTTTTTTTTTTCCCTTTTTTTTTCCTTTTTTTTTCCCTCCCACATTTAAAATCGAATCTTGATTATGTATTTCAAATTTCCTCTATGACAACTATGTCGAATAGAACGTAATGAGAGTTTTGTTTGTTTCAGAAACAATAGAGGTATATGTATAATACTTAAATGTATGTATATATATATATATATATATATATATATATATATATATATATATATAGTCTATGACTACTCAAAGTCCTTGAACTCATCTTTATTAAAGTCACGTAGAGTCGATAAGGTGGCCTCGATGCAACTCGAACGATCTCGCCCTACGGAAATTCGTAACTCTGTACGTCTCTGACGCGAGTGCCGTTGTAATGGCGATTGTTTCTCGACCTGTAGGTACGGCCAAACTTTCCCCTTCTGCGATTCGTGCCGAGAAGTTACACGGAAGCAGTTCGAGCGTTAGATTTTATCACGCTCGTTCCACCATCGTAGCCCTTATTTGTTCCGTTAGTTAAAACTAAATAATCGCTGGGATATCTTGATTTTGTTACTCCTCCTTTTAACTTTTTCTTTTCTTCTTTTTTTAATTTGCTCTCTCGATAAGATCTTTTCTCTCTCTCTATCTCTCTCTCTCTCTCTCTCTCCTACTCTCTCTCTTTCTCGCTCGCTTTCTTTTTTATCGAATTCATTAACATTTTATAAAGCGCGTAAATTTAGTAATATCTACGTAATAGATCTATGAAAAAATTTGGACATTACTTTTGATGAAAATTTAATATTTAAAATTTTGCATCCTTAAGCATTAAGTTTTATTAGAAAATTTTTTAATAAATTCGACGTATTCTCAGAATTTGCAGGATTATGATATTGGAAATAAATCGTATCGACAGCAATTTTTTTTTTTTTTCCTGAAAATGATTTAAATGATTTTTACCTACATTTTTCTTTATTTATCATACGCCAGTCTTATTTAGCCGATTCATTGGCTTTCTTTCTTTCTTTCTCTCTTTCTTGGTTCTATTAGCACCGTAATTCACACACCGTATACTTGCTATTATGACTACTACTAACGTACGATCACGGAAACGCTAGACAGAGCTCAATGAATAAGTTACTAGCTAAGGAAGCGGCTCTGCCGGGAATCGTAAATTCGACGCGCCGCGGCAATTCCGTAAGTGCGGCGTATTCTCGTTGAGATAGTCGTGAGGAACGCTCATAAAAATCGTCCCTTATCGTGATATTATTCTCTATGCAATTAAACGAACGTTGGAACGAAAGAAGAAAGTGATCTTTGCATTAGTATTAAGGGAATTCGATAATTGAATTAAATTAGTCTATCGACGATGATAAACAATTCAATTTTATTTTCCAATATAACATCATATTTGTCAGATAAATGACAAATAATTGTATTTGTAACGTATATTTAAAAGTTTATCAAATTGAAATAATTTAGGAATTATTTGAAAAACAAAATCTTCTTTTAAATGTTATCCCTTATATATTTAGAATGATTCATTCATTTTTCGTTTACACGTCCATTGATAAAAAAAGAAACAAATATGTCCCTTTATTTTCAGCTATGAATCGATTTATTTCTATCTGATATTTTGAGATTATATTGTATATTAATCGAGAAATATCTACGTCACATCTAACGAAATGACCACGGCCTCGAGGGATAGCAGACGTCAAAGCCATAATCACCGTCGATATTTCTATATCTCAAATATTCGCATGTTGATATAATATTATACATATATGGCATATGCAAAACGAAATTGGCGACGTATGAATTAATTATTATATTAATAGCGACCGGCTATTTTACTGTACGGGTATTCAATTGGCGATTGAGGAAGAGAGAGAGAGAGAGAGAGAGAGAGAGAGAGAGAGAGAGAGAGAGAGAGAGAGAGAGAGAGAGAGAAACAGAGAGAGAGAGAGAGAGAGAGAGAGAGAGAAACAGAGAGAGAGAGAGAGAGAGAGGAAATAGAAAGAGAACAAAAGCTTCATACGCTTGTAATTAATGCCCTGTGAGTTCTATTACCATCAACACCATTGCTCTATTTTCACGTATTTCGCGTATTTCACTTCTATTAATATTCTTTTATAAATACGTACTATTCGACTATTTCGTTTGGATTTGGAGCATTATTATAGACGATAGCGATTAAGCGAGCAAACTTTATTCGTTCATACGAAACGAATAGTGTGACCTGACAGATTCCGTATTAACTTTGTGTATCGTAATTTTTCGACGAGAAACATTTCCTCTACGTTTCCATTTTCCATATATTCGTAAAAAAAAAAAAAAAAAAAAAAAAAAGAAAAAAAAAGTACCAAAACTCGATTCATCCAACTCTTTCCAACGTGTGTCCCTTCCTTTCTTGTTTATCTGATGAAAACTATCGTATTCGATATATCCGATACGACGTCGACGACAATTTATTTCGTTTCGTGAATATTTAATTGCATTATAAAAACTCGTAAAAATCATTGAAGGGAAAAATATATATATCCATTAAACAAAAATGAAATAACAATACACGACGACTAGGGAATGTGAGATAGCTAGAGACAGTTTTTCAATTTTTAAAAAAAAATCGATCGATGGATGATCATTCAGAGAAGTTTTACGAATAAAATCTCTCTCTCTCTCTCTCTCTCTCTCTCTCTTTCTCTACCGGCGCAGATGGAATTTGACAAAGGCAGGAATCGTCTGCGTCCATAAATTCGTGGTTGTAGATCAATACTAGGTAACGGGTAACGTGAAACTTGATAGTGGTGCCTACGTGTGCGTACGTTTGTGTGTGTGTATATATATATATATATATATGGATATGATTGCATACGTAAAGGAGAAATAGAGTGGTATGCGAGTAAGTAGAGTGAAGTAGTGAAGTAGCCAAGTGGTGTGCGAGGTTGTATTCTCCTCGTCTCGCTCGTTGGAGAATGCTCGAAAGGACTCTGTGTGATTCTGCACAACATGTATGCTAGTACCTAAATAAGTGTATGTGTATGAGAGAGAAGAGAGATGGAAATAGACTCATGTATTCTCACCCCCATGTAGCAGACGAACTCCTCGTTGCATATGGTCTTGTTGGGTTTGTTGATGGATGGCGGACACTGGGGACCTCGGCCGTCGCAAAAGCTCGCGTCCCTGCATCCGTTGTCGTCCCTGCACTTGTCCCCGCTGCGTAAAGTACAAGCCGACGTGCAGCACGGTCCCTGCGACAGAGATACGAAGATCAGAGAGAGATATAGAGAGAAAGAGAGAGAGAGAGAGAGAGAGACTGTGAGATCAGTATGGTCTCTGTGGGAATCCGTTAATGGTACTCAAAGCAAGATGCGATCATGTTATTGGCTGACTTGCGTGTCAACTATGGAAAAATATTGAAACGAACTTTTGTCCAAAGGTTTTCCTTATTTGTACATTTGTACGTTTGTATATATATATATATATATATATGTGTACACATGGATATTTTATATTTAATTTATAGAGATTTACTTTTCATATACAAAGGATCATTTTGATTAGAAAAGTATGGAATTTAAATAGTCCGTTGAAAATATTTGATTATTACGTTTGGATACGAAATATTGAATTTATGGAATGAAAAAAGAAAAGAAAAAAAAAAAGAAAAAAAAAAGAAAAAAAAAAAGGAAAATAAAAAGTTCGTTTGATATTTAATTTTTGACTCGAACATTTTACATTTTCATTGTCAGACGATTATTTCTTTCTTTCTTCTTTTCTTTTTTTATATTATATTTTTTTTTTCTTTTTTTCTTTTCTTTTTTCTTTCTCTCTTCGAATTTATTCAGGAAACAATACGTACGTATGTACGTACGATGATTCATATTCAAATTTTCTTTCAGATAAATCCTCTCATCGTGGGCACGCGCGAGATATGTCGGAACATCACGAGCATCGCTTTTTTACTCGACAAAGCTTTGCGGAACTTTGTTAATGAGAGCAAACAGAAAATTCGGATTTGAAAAGGATGCTTTCAAAGGGTAGACTACCAGAAGGCTGTGGTTGGACTAATTGTGAGTTTGAGAACGTTACATAGAGTTTTTATTATACAACGATCTTTCATATATTCATCGTGTATGAAGCTTTGAAAGCTCTTCACGTTGGTTTGGTGGAATGATAAAGGATAGGGAGGAGGTAGAGTGGTAAATGCTAGTAGAACAAGTCGATATACGATATAAATACATACATATATATATATATATATATATATATAGAATAAATATAGATATAGATCGTACGTATTAGATGAAAAATAAGTAAAGCAGTATAAATGTATCGTTATCGTACATGACTTTTCACGGCTGAATTCCTTCACGATTTTGAATGTCAAATGCCAGTCGAATTTCTTGTATAAAAATCAAGTCGATTTTGCGTGCGAACGAGTACTAAAAGTAGAAAGAAAGAAAGAGGTAAAGAGAAAAAGAAAGAGAGAGAGAGAGAGAGAGGAAGAGAGCGAGAGAGAGAGAGGGAGAGAGAGAGAACATCCTCGTAGGAAATCGAAAAGTACATATGAGAATTCGTGGGTCAAATCGAAGCTCAATATCTATGTGTAAAGAGCGAAGAAATAAGTGGGTGCTACGGTCCGAGCTTTTTCCATCGACTCGTAAAATGTTTGTAAGTGTATGTAAAACATGCATAGATGTATATATCGAACACGTATATACATGAATATATACATAAGGGTAGCTTGACCCATGGCTAGAGGGAGTATTCGGAAGCGAGAATGGAATAAAGAACGCGATTTCGCCTTCGTCGTCATCGTCGTAGCCGTATTCTGACTTCCAACCGATCTCAATTTCATTCTCACGCTGGACGGAACGCAATAACACGAGATAGTCCGACGAATCAATTTATCGAATTTCAATACAGGAGACAGTGTGGTGTGTATGGGTGATCGTAAGGAGGACATGCGGTACGACGATATAGCAGAAACGTTCGAGTTTGTCATTCGTGGATCGTCAACCTCAAGAATTCTTGAAATAAGTCGACGAGTTAATTTCACGTTCGTGAAATTTTCCCGATAATTCTCGCGACTGAAATTGATAATTCAGAAATATTTTCTTAATACGTCCCCTTTTTTTTTTCTTTCTTCTTCTTCTTCTTCTTCTTCTTCTTCTTCTTTTTCTCTTTTTTTTTTAAATTCTTTTTATTCATTTCTATTAATACATTAGAAATTAGAAATCATTGCGATATCATTTGATGTAAACATTTAAAGATTATCTAAATCTATATTTGGAATATAAATTGTTAGGTTTCTTTCTTTCTTTCTTTTTTTTTTCTTTTCTTTTCTTTTCTTTTCTTTTCTTAAATCAATTTAAGATTTAAATTAGATTTTTTATTTCTAATTTCAATATCTTCACGTTGAACATCACGCTTTTCTTTAATCGATAATACACGCTAGGTATTTATTTTCAGATATGAATTACAAGAAGTGCGAACGAACTGTTCAAAAAAAAAAAAAAAATAAAAAAATAAAGAAAAAAAAGAAAGATAGAAGAAAGAAAAGGAAGAAGAGAAAAAAGAGGGGGGGAAAAAAAAGGAGAAAAATAAAAAAATAAAAAGGTATAGAAAAGTTAGGGAAAGTCGTAGATCGTGAAGCGTAACTGGCGAAATATAAAGCACCTCGCGCCTTTTTCCGGCATTCTTTCAGCCACGTTCGAGAGAAAAGAATGCGGAGGAAAGAATCGTTTCTCCTTCCTTTCTCTTTTTCTGTTTCTTTAGCGAAAGAAGGCTGTCTCGAAAGGGGGAACCCGTTCATTCGTCTACGTCCTTGCGTTCCAACGGATCTCTGCGTGTTTTGCATCCGGCACTTTTCTTCAGACTCTCACGATGCACCTAATGCATCGAGTTCCTACTTTCTCTCTTTCTCTCTCTCTCTCTCTCTCTCTCTCTCTCTCTTTTGAGTTAGATTCGATTTTCTTTTCCCTTCTTCTTCTTCTTCTTCTCCTTTCTCTTCTTTTTCATCTTCGTCTTTCTCTATTCCCTTTTTTCTTTTTTTTCTTTTTTTCTTTTTTTTTTTTCCTTCTTCGTCTGTCTCCAAGATCCTCTTTTATCTCGTTCCAACCAACGGATGTTTTCCTCTTGTTGGATTTTCCACATTCGTTTACCTCTCATTCCTCTATATCCATTCTCCAATCGTATTTCCTTTCGTAGATATGCAGACGTAGACAGCGAAAATATTTTCTTCCCGTTCGTTGAAAGCGTCTCGTCAGGTTTGTCTAACTCTCGTTAGATTCATTTCTTTACGAATGGATCGGAACAAATCTGGAGTACTTTTTTTTGGAGAGAGAGAGAGAGAGGGTGAGGAAGATATAAATAAATAGATAGATAAATAGATAGATAGATAGATAGATAGATAGATAGAGAGAGAGAGAGAGAGAGAGAGAGAGAGAGAGAGAGGCAGAGAAAGATGTAGAAAAAATAAATGTAAACTACTTGCCGGCAATTCAAAAATTCGTGTAAACGAGCAACCGGTATTTCCTACAATCTTTTTCTATTCTCTCTTTCTCTCTCTCTCTCTTTCTCTTTCAAGATCCATATGCGTTGAGCTTTTAAATTCATTACATTCAGAAGTGGGTTATGCATGGTAAATTGAGATTAACAGAAGAAATAAGAGAGAGAGAGAGAGAGAGAAAGAAACGTATATATATATATATATATATATATACATATATAGTATATGGAGAGAGATATGTACACACATATATATATATAGAGAGAGAGAGAGAAAGAGAGAGAAAAGGAGAAAGAGAGAAAGCTCTTTAAATACTCGGTAATGAGCTCTCTTGCTTTTCCTATATCGTAACGACTCGTTGAATCGGTACTCGTCGTTGGATTAATTCCAACGAACTTTAGAGCAGCAAGCCGACGGTAGTGGTTCCACGCGAGAATCACCACCACCGCAAGTATACTGGCCCGAGAGGTTGTATCTAGGAGAAGAGGAAGAGGAAGAGGAAGAGGAAAAGGAAGAGGAACAGGGAGAGAAGGAGAAGAAGGTAGAGGAGATTTTGCCGTATACACGTATATACGTAGGTAGATATGTACGAAAACTCGAAAGCACTCGACGTTTGTTTGCTTTCGTTTGGCAGTTAGTTAGAGAAATGTCTCTTGATGTGCAGAAAATTTTATTAACATTTTCTTCCCTTCATATTCTTTATCGATCGATAATCATTAAGCCAATATACTTTCGTCTTCGTTTATCGTATGTATATATGCGAGCGTTTTTAACGTGCATTTGTTGAAAAATTTATGCCTCAGTAAATTTAAAAGAAAAGATCAATTCTTTATACGATGGTGTTCGAAAATATTTCCATTTACTTGAATTACAAAGTGGCAAGATTAATTGTTTTATCTCGTTCCACGTTAACCAAGTATATACCTTCTTCTCTACCTTGATAGGAATCACCTCGATTCTCCTTTGATTAATTATTCTCATTTTCTGGGATACCGCTAGCCGCGAACAACGCGACGTTACCGACAACTACGACGATCATGTTGAAGACTGACGTTCGAAAATTAGATCTTCACCACTTCTCTCTCTCTCTCTCTCTCTCTTTCTCTTTATCTATCTATCTATCTATCTATCTATCTATCTATCTATCTATCTATCTATCTTTCGCTCTTTAGATCCTCTCATAAACGTCTTGATTTCATCTTTCAATCGTTTGTAGACATTTCACTTTTATTGCCGGAAAGAAATGAGATTTTAATTTAATCAGTCACATTTATATACTTTTCAATAATATTCACATTTTATGGATTCTATTATTTCATTTTATTACCACCGTATGTAATAAAATATTTGACAGATGTGATCGTTAAAAATGTTTCTAATCGTGCTACGTTACAAAAACAGGTTCGTTAAAATTTGCACGCTCTTTACTTAACTTATCGCGCTTTATTATCATTGGCTTCCTCTATTCGTAGCGGAGTAAAGCAGAGAGAGAGAGAGAAAGAGAGAGAGAGAAAGAGAGAGAGAGAGTGAGAGAGAATGCAATAATTTAAATGCCACTCTCTTCGTGGGTGCTCTGTTAATAACGAATGATCTCGAAAATGGTGTTCCGTTTTTCGCTTGGTTTAACGAGAACCGTTGAATTTTTCCAGTCGTATTTAATTTCGCGTGAAGGGAATTTCTCACCCTTCAGTACTGCTACTGCCGCTGCTTCTTTGAATATTCGCGTTGATTTTACATATAAGAGACCTTGTACTACTATGTTGAGAAAGATATTCATATATACGTATACAGAGAGAGAGAGAGAGAGAGAGAGATAGAGATAGAGATAGAGAGATAGAGAGAGAGATAGAGATAGAGAGAGAGAGAGAGTGAGAGTGAGTTTGTGAACGGACGTACGGTAAAGTTCACCGCGAAGTGCATGGCGAATTAGTGCATAAATTAGGATCGTGTGAAAGCACCGTTCTCTATCCCATAAGATCAGAAGGAGGGAAGATAGCTGTTACGACGTTAAGGGATCCCTTACTCATTATCGGTGGCTCGTCGAATACGCGTTTAATTATCCATTGCATACCAACGAAATGTCGAACTTTACTTTAGTTTCCAAACAAATGATAATTATTTGATTATGATTCGGAGTTTCTCTTTATGTGTGAAATATAGATTTTAAATATAGAAATATATAATATATAGGCAAGAAAGGATTATCGAAGAATCCATTTATAAAAATTAAATCTCAGCGAAATTTCTAACATTTCTTCGTTATTTATCATTTAGCTTTTTGAGAGTTTGTCGATATATCGTTAAATATAAATCCCTTTCAATTTGAACGTTTCTTTTTATCTATATATAAAAATAGTTCACATTCTTTTTTAACGATAGAGCCTTTATTTTTCTTAGTGAACTCGCATGAAGTAAAAGTAAAAAGAGTAAAAAAAAAGAAGAAGAAGAAGAAGAAGAAGAAGAAGAAGAAGAAGAAGAAGAAGAAGAAGAAGGAGAAGGAGAAGGAGTAATCAAGGGAAGGGCAAAAAAACGTCAGTACATGAGTTACGTCAAATTTACGAAGAGAACTAATTAAAGAGAAAGAGAGTCCGTTCGCTCGTCCCATTTATAAAAGGGAAGTAAGATCGATCGAAATTTTATTTTTAGTTTAAAGTGATCGAAAAGTCGTCGACCGAAATGAAACGCATCAAACGCATTAAACTTCATTCGGATAATGGAAACAAAATAATTACATTTAAAATTCCGCGCATACATTCACCACGTATATGGATCAATATAAAACGCAAAAATCTATTGAAATCGTATACTCGCTAATTTTACAACTGAGCAAAACTTTTCAGTCGAACCAAGCGTGAACGAGCTATTCTATTCATTTTTTCTTCTTCTTTTTTCCCCCTCCCCCCCTTCTCTCCCCCACCCACTCGCCTTCTCCCAAATTCCATTAATCATACGATCTCAATTTCAAGCGTACGCGAGAAAGTTTTTACAGTGAATTTTTGAAATTGTTAAAACGATGATTTTTATTAGAGAACATATACGAGATATCTGATAGAAAATAAGAGGAGAGATTCTAAGAACAAGCATATAATGATCGTTCATCGACGAAACGAACGTTTCTCAAGGGTCAGCAAATGGAGCATGTGAGAAGGGTTACTCACCTGACTGGGACTGCAAACTGCGCCATCGGCAAGGCGACAAGGTATCTCATGAGGGACATGATGGAGCCGTTGAGGGTGGCAACAAGGATCATTGCAGTCCTCCTCCCATCCACAATCGCACTCCTCACCCTCCTCCACCACGCCGTTTCCGCAAATGGCCGACTGAGGCTCTGTGGGATCATCGATTATCGAGAGCAACGTTACCATCTACATCGTCTAAGTTTTCGTTCAAATCGAGGGAAAAGGGGAAACGAGAGACAGAGAGAGAGAGAGAGAGAGAGAGAGAGAAAGATAATGATGGTGTCCCGAATCGTCTGATAAGCGTCGATAGTAGTAAGAAAGCAAGCAAGCAAGCAAGCAAGCAAGAGAGAAAGAGATAGAAAATTTACTTCCCATTTTCTCGTTCTACTTCACTATCTTTCAAGATCGTTCTCGAAGTTGTTATTCACGAAAGAGTCGTTTGCCAGCTATGGACTTGGAACAATGGGCAAAATTATCGACGGTTATCTCTTTTGGTTTTTCTTCTTATTCTCTCTTTCTCCTATTCCCACTCTTCCTTTTTCCTTCTCCTTCTAACCACTCCCCCGGCCCTCCCTTTTCTCTCCCTTTCATTCTCTTCATTTTATATTTTCTTGCATTTGAAAAATTTGTTCACGTCGGTAGCATTTATTTTCCGAAGAATCGTGGTCCTCCTTCGTAACGTAATTTTCGATGCCTGAACGATAATTAACCAACCCAGTCAATCCCTTTTCGCCCCTATTCCCGGATCGCCATTCTCCATCTCCCACCCAACCCTCCCAACCTTCTGTCCCCGTTTCCGCCCATCTCCCACCATCACTGGCGAGTTCTGCCTTGTGTTCATGTCGCGTCGCCGTGTCTCCTTTGTCCGATAACGAGTGATTGTTCCTCGGGGGATCGAGGCGAGCGGAAGAAAACGATGAGTTTGACAGGTTAATCGCGCGTTAGGTACTGCCTTTAGGAAAGGGAAAGGTAAAAAAAAAGAAAGAGAGAGAGAGAGAGAGAGAGAGAGAAAGAGTGAGAAGAAAAAAATCGTCGAAAAGAAAATCTCGTGCGCATTAAAGCAAATGAGATGTAATAAAGGTTAATCAGATCTTCGTCGGCAGTTTTAATGAAATTCTCAGGTTTAATGAAGCTCGACGCTCGAATATAACCTTCCTCGTGGTTTAATGAAATTAATGTTAATTCCGTGTTTTACGCCTTTTACGAATGTTTGGTCTTACACGGTTTCCTTCTTTTTTTTTTTTTTCTTTTTTATTAAAAGAGAGAGAGAGAGAGAGAGAGAGAGAGAGAGGGTGTTTTATAATTGACCATTCTTAATTTATGATGTTTTCTTGAACAATGAACGTTTCACGATTTAAATGTATTATTCATTGTAGTTACGAACCTTTAAACAATTAATTAAAATTCTCAAGTGAAGAGTATAAAAAAAATTGCAAAACATAAATTTAAGGATATTATAGGATAATTCATTCTTATTGGACAGTATTGATAGAAACTCAAAGATATACGTGTGTAACGTTCGATGATTTCTTATAAATAAATTTGACGATTAAATATCTAAACAGAGTTAAACTCGTTAAGGTATTATTTATATTTTTGCATTTATCTCTTTTGCAAAACGTCATCATAAATTTTATCTTTTAAGAATCTTCGACATTTAGATAATTTTATTGATCATAACGTTAAAAGTTTTAACTCCATCTTCGTTGCCTTTATTAGAGGAGGGATTTGGTTACTCTCAGTGGTATCGATATGAGTAACGTGACCCTTAGTTTGGAAGGGATAGAGGAGAGAGAGAGAGAGAGAGAGAGAGAGAGAGAGAGTGAGTTAGACTGTGACCCACAGGTCAGTCTATATATATATGTGTGTGTGCGCGCGCGCGTATGTATGTGTTTTTCATCAGTTTTGTTTGCAGTTCTTATTCCATATAGGACTCAGAACTATACTACATTCGGAATTAAAGTAATTTGCAACTCACGACTCAGAACTCGGAACTCAGTATAACATTATCACTTTTCGGGACTTCATGTACTTGTAACTTGTACCATTGTATCATTTGTTGTTTGCCGAGACCTTACAACTTTCGATAATAAATAGTTAAGTTAACGAGAGGACTTAGAACTTTTTTGCCGTTAAATCGTGCTGAGACTCCGGGTTTGTGAATTTGTCGAATGCCAAATAGAGAGAGAGAGAGAGAGAGAGAGAGAGAGAGAGAGAGAGAGAGAGAGAGAGAGAGAGATCGTCAAATTTCAGATTGAAAATTGTAATTAGGATACACGTTCCAATGATATATTTATTATTTGCGCATACAAATATTTATATCTACATAAATAAGTATGCAAATAAATAAATAAATAAATAAATAAATAAATAAATAAATAAATAAATAAATAACGGCTACGTTGGATATTCATAGAGACGTACTTACATATACATGAACGTAAATGTAAATATTATTTGTATAAAATCTGATCAAACGTTACGTTTATGCGTACGTATATATATATATATATATATATATATATATATATATATATATATATATATATATATATTAACGAAGAGAAATATGATACTACTTTAAAGATTTTCGTAATAAATCGAGGAATTTGCAATAGAATTTCCTCCGACAGGGGCTTAGTCCGATTTTGTTTGAGTCTCTGCAACCCGAGGATGAATTCCTCTTTACGTCTCCGTGGCCAAAGTAATGTGAGATTGTAAAAGGCACGGTAGGCACGTCGACTATGCGCTCTACGCAACGCACAGCCCCTTTTTCGCAGAGATACACGTAGGATTCGTTGGGGAATTTCGTACTTTGAAGCCTCTTTGCAACGGCAATTCAACGATCTCCTCTCCCCTAGATTGTTACATTGTTTCGTCAAAAGTCTTTAACTGTAGTAGTGAAATTGATTCGAATTATCTGAATCCTTTGTCATTCTTTCTTTCTCTCATTCTCTCTCTCTATCTTTCTATCTCTCTCTCTCTCTCTCTCTCTCTCTCTCTCTCTCTTTATACAGAATCTGTTAATAATAAATTTATGAAACTCTTCAATATGACTGATTTTAAATTTCACATTTGATCTAAATATTTGTTCGTGCTTATTCAAAAAAAAAAAAAAAAAAAAAAAAAAGAAAGAAAAAGAAAAAAAGAAAAGAAAAAATTGTAATATTATTTATATCGTTATAATTATATTAAAGTATAATTTATACTATATAATCCCTTATAATATAAATCTTTTTCATCGTTTCTATAAGAAAATTATAGATAAAACGTGATAGCTATAATATTACTTGTATCTACTGGTATAATTATTATTATTATACTGGAGCATGATTTGTACTTGAAAAAAAAAATTATAAAATGTCATTATAAAATGAAAGATAATTTAAAGGTGTTTAAACAGATATTTAAACGTGTTACTTTAAAATTATATGACGTCGTATCCAAATGAAAGTTACAAAAATCATAGATATTACTTTTATATAATTTATCATGACTTTTGCTAAAGGGTTCCCATTAAAAATAGATATACAATTAATCCTCATAAATTTAATGTTATAGATCATACGAATGAAACGATATAATTTATTAACAAGCTTTTCCCTCTCTCTCTCTCTCTCTCTCTCTCTCTTCTTCAATCTTCCAATAAATTATTCCAACGAATTGATACGACGAAGACTAATTTCCAAGGAATTAATGATTTTTATTCGAAAGTGAAAGATACGAAGTAGAAAAAAAACAAAAAAAAAAAAAAAAAAAGAAAAGAAAAAAAGAAAAAAAAAAGAATTAAAAAGAGAAGAAAAAATTTCTTAATTCGTCGCGGAAAAGGGAGAAGACAGGGAAGTATGCTCGATTTCTTCTTTCATTTTCACGCCAAGGTCACTCAACAGTCCATTATACGCGTCTTTGTCAAAATTAATCGAATGTACCGATTAGAAGAGCAATTTGACTGGGTAGACTCTCCCACTCGACTCTCTGACGTGCGACTCCGTTTTAATTGAATTCCAAGCTCCCTCAGCACCCACTCCCTCAACCCCGTAACCCCCTACTACCTCCTTTACAATTTCCATTGCATCGTCAATTCGCCATACTCGAACCCTCAACCGTCTCACCGTTGTCGTCCTTTTCTACTGACGTAGAATGCGTCGTCCTAAAAGCTTTTGCCTAGAAAATAGACGAGCTTTTCTCTCTGTTTGTCACTCGAAGGGACTCTGTCCGTCTGTAAAAGACCACCTGTATCTCTCCTAGTCGTTTCGAATTGCTTTTGAAACTGTTGTTCGTTCTCTCTCCCGTTCCACTCTCAAGTTTATCGTCGAGCGTTAAAAAACGGTTTCATTTAATCCACTTGAAAAACCATCACCGATGACATTCTCTCTGTTTCTCTCTCTCTCTCTCTCTTTCTCTCTCTTTCTCCTTTTTTCTTTTCTTTTTTTCTCAGGGAATTTTTATCCATTCTTACAAAATCGTTTTGCAAAAGTGTTTAATTTATCTTAAATTAAGGTCAAGTAATCAACCACGATAATAATAATAATAATATTAATAATAATAATAATAATAATAATAATAATAATAATAATAATAATAATAATAATAATAATAATAATAATACTAATAATAATAATAATACTAATAATAATAATAATAATAATAATAATAATAATAATAATAATAATAATAATAATAATAATAACAACAACAGCAACAACAACAATAACTGACGTTAATATTTTGCAAAGTTACAAAGATAGTTAGGATTGTTAGAACGAGATTGCGTTATACTCACCGAGTATAATAATTGTCGGTAGGATAGCGAAATTACTGCTAAGATATATATATATATATATATATATATATATATATATATATATATATATTTCTACGTATACAGACTCTCTTAAATAAGTTGACTACGGTTTCTTGGCGTATTCGGGACACCGAAAACGTTCGTTCGAAGTACTGTGTATATTCCTTTCGTAATATAACAAGGAAAGGACGAGAGACGAATACTGGAGGGATAATTGAAATCTTGAAACTTATTCTACTCACCAGCGAAACATCCTTTTGATGAACGAGCCTTGGCATTTAAGACAGGGTTTATGGAGACGAGACTGCACGGACTGAATCGATTGTTGTTCCGCTTGTCGCCACTCGTAGCCCTTGCGAACATTATGAAATTCCCATCCTCTCCGCCTGGTGAGCACTCGTCCGGATCATGCTGTGTGTGTATGTGTGCGTATATATATATATATGTATGTATGTATGTATGTATGTGTGTGTGTGTGTGTGTGCGTGCGTTTGTGAAAGAAGATGGTTGAAAAGCGTTTTCTGAACTCGTCCAAACTCTACGACCATTTTCTCTCTCTATCTCTCTCTCCCTCTTGGATTCTTTCTTTCTCTTTCTAACAAATTCATATATATCTACACACAGTACAGAAATGGTCGTAAAGCAGGGAACACTCATTTACGAAGGACCTAAACGCATTTGTACCTGTACCGCGGCCGAATGGAAGTAACGGATGATAACGTTGCAACAAATGCGTCTTCTAAAGTTGCCTTAAGGACTTCATTTACGGTCCCGATTTCGTTGCTAGTGTATACACCCTCGGTTAAAAGTTTTCGAGCAGAACTTTAAAGATTTTCAGATAGAGATAAGGATAGGAAAAGAAAAGGGAAGAGAGAGAAAGAGAGAGAGAGAGAGAGAGAGAGAGAGAGAGAAAAGGGAAAAAGTGAAAAAGAGAAAGGGACGACCGTATCGGCGTGATTGATTCCATTTCCGTTACTTCCATTACGAATTTCACCAACAGAAAATGGCTATAGTATGTATATATACATATATATATATATATATATATATATATATATATATATATATATGTATATATATATATATGTGTATATGTATATCCTTCTTAATACATATTTGCAATTATATAAGGATATTCGAAAGTTTTTATCGAGATAATCTATATCTTATATAAACTTTTGGTAAGTTCTTCTTTTTCAAATTTACATTATTGTTTTATTTTTTGTCATAGTTAGATCATAGAAAACAATCATACGTATTTTTCAAAAGTACATTATTATTACGGATATAAAAAACTAATTATAAACTTCATGTATTATTTATAATCTAAACGTTATAAGATAAAAAGAAAAGGTAAAACAAAAGCAAAAGGAAGGAAGGAAGGAAGGAAGGAAGGAAGGAAAAGGAATAAAATAAGAAAAAAAAAAGGAAGAAAAAAAGGAAGAAAGAAAGAAAGAAATTTAAGTTGAACGTCGAGAAAATATCTCGCGATTTTATATCGGGATATACGAATAAGAAAATCGTAGAATGAATAAGAAGAAGGTAGGGGAATGAAGTAGAAGTAGAAGAAGAAGAAGAAGAAGAAGAAGAAGAAGAAGAAGAAGAAGAAGAAGGATTGGAAAGTCTCTTCTTCCTTTGCGTACGAAATCGCAATACAATGCGCGAAGGACGTCACGCGCATGAACGAGCACGGGATCGTATTCGGAATTGAATTTCGTCGCCACGAGGAAATCACCTTTCCCGCTGCTTTTTCGTTCTCTCGAAAGGAGATGGGGAATGGGTGGATGAATGTGGGGGAGGGAGAAGGAAGGAAGGAAGGAAGGAAGGAAGGAAGGAAGGGAAGGAGGGACTGGAAGAAGGAAGGACATGGGGATTGTAGGAAAAGGAGGTAAAGGAAGGAATAGACGGAAGAGAAAACGGAAGAGAACGTAGAAGACATTTCATTCCCATGGGGAGAATCACTCGATGTGTTTTAGTTCTACTTTCTTTTGTCCTTTTTTTTCTTTCCTCCTTCTTCGTTCCTCAGAAAACGCGGCCTTTGATCGTCTAAGGTCGAACCTGGCCGATAGTGTCCCTTTATTGCATTCCCGAAAAGAAAAAGAATTAGGAAGTTCGATGAATTGAGATTAGACCGTGGAATCGTTGACTTTACTACTTGCTGGAAGAGAGTTCGTTTTGAAGGAAAAAAGAAAAAAAAAAAAGAAAAGAAAAAAGAAAAAAGAAAAGAAGAACAAAAAACAAAAAAGAAAAGAAACGAAAAGAAAGAAAATCGTCGCGACAAGTTTACCCTCTTCGATTTTTACGATTTATCGTTTCGCAAAGAAGGTAAGATCGAAGATAAATTAAAGGTAAAAGAGAGAAAGAAAGGAAAGGACAAAAGGGTTGGAGAAGGGATTGAATGAATAGGGAAAGGGAAGAGAAGGGAAAGGGAAGGGACATCGTCGATTTTATTCGTCGTCCTCCGTAGATAGTAACGACTTTAAATCCAACAGGAGTCAGCATTTTCGGATATTTTACGAGAGATCCCGATGGGAAGTGACGCCTTTCACGGGGTGATTCGATTTGACGCTGCCAGGGAAATATTCCTCGAGGGGCTTACGACGATAGAAAATATACGAAGAGATATAAGTAGACGATAGTAGTAGTAGTAGTAGTAGTAATAGTGTAGTAGTAGTAGTAGAAGAAGGAGAAGGAGGAGGAGGAGGAAAAAAAGAAGGAGAGTTTAGGTGGATAGGTGAGGGGAATAAGATGATGGGTAACAGTAATAGGTTATTCGAGATCTTTTCTTTTCTTTTCTTTTTTTCTTCTCATTATGATGTAAGAAAGGATTCATGGATTTTCAGTTAGTAGGTTCTTGAAATTCCTGCGTGACGTCACTTCTCTCCCTCATGGCTCCCTCATGTTCAAACATCGGCCGATTAGTAGGAAAGTTTGCGAGCTTGTTGTGTGGTCTCCTTTGGTATAAGTGGAGCATAGATGAGGGAAGAAGAGGGCGTAGATTCGCTTTCTCGTTGGAATTCGTGATGAGAGAAGAGGGTGCGAGAAGCACATGGGGGATATGTAGGTAAAAGGGGGAGGGGATGAAAACAGCGTGATGCACACATCTCGTGCTTGAGCTTTTACACGCACGTATGAACGCTCGTGTCGTTGTAGTTGTGTCGTAGTCGTCGTAGTCGTAGTCGTAGTCGTCGTCGTCGTCGTCGTCGTCGTTGTAGTCGTTGTTTTCGTCGTTGTTGTTATCGTCGTTGTCGTTGTCAAGTACCAACGGGAGACAATGTTAGAGACAACGCTCTTGTAAACTTACAGGAGATCCAAAATTGTGGCCGATCTCGTGTGCGAGGGTAACGTGAGAAACCGTCGGTGGTACGTGCTTCCCGTAGTTGAGTAGGGTGATTATGCCAGTGTTGAGAGATTTCATGCTACCTCTATAATGCTGCAATGAAAAAATAAATGTGGCTTTATTATTATTATTATTATTATTATTATAATTATTTTTACCTTTTTTTTTCCTCTCTTTTTTTTTCTCTCTCTTTTTTTTATTATTATTATTGTTATTATTATTAACAATTACCATGCCGAGTTGTTAGATGTAAACAGTAAACGCATAAAATGGTATGTTATGCGATAGAAGTGAAAGTAGTAAAATTTATTTTCTTTTCTTTTTATTTTTTTTCTTTTTTCTTTTTTTTTTTCTCCATTTCTTTCTTTCAAGTATACAAAATAAATACCCCGTTTTTCTCGCAAACTCCACCTGCGTTCTTGAGATCACCTGTCCAAGCGAGGCCCAGCGTACCCTTTTCGAAATCACGATAGGTAAACATGTAGGAAAGACAAAATGCGTCGTAATCTTCTTCTGTAAAACACATGAAAAAATAGTCGTAAAGTTAGAGCTGAAGAATATGGCCGGGGGAAATCATATTTATTGTATCTTTTGTTCTTTCTTGTTTTTCTATTTTTTTTTCTCTCTCTCTCTCTTTTCTCTTTTTTTTTTCTTTTTTACTTCTTCTTTTTTTTTTTTTTCTTTTTTTTTGTACTTTTTTCAAAACATTTTTTCTGTAGGATAAACGTTTGACGCAGTTTGACTCTAAAGAATTTTACTACGAGTACTTTTATCGGATTAACTTGATTTATAATTCCTATCTAACGTGAAAGCAGTTCGGATTAATAATAGATTCTACACATTTACGAGGGGATCGGTAATGGTTAATAATGAATGATGTTACTTTCAGTGGAAAAAGATAAAGCAGATAGTTATACATAGACATATAAATGGATAAATAGATAGACAGATGGATGGATGGATGGGTAGATAGATAGATAGATAGATAGATAGATAGATAGAGATATGAAAATAAAAAATGAATAGGTTAGAGATCGTACGTGTTTTCTTATTCTTCTTGTTTTTCTTTTTTTCCTTTTTCTTTTTCTTTCTTTCTTTTCTTTTCTTTTCTTTTTTTTCTTTTTTTTTTTTTTTTTTTTTTTTTTTTTTTTTTTTTATTTCGTATACCTTCTTCCATGGACGGACATGAATGCGCATTGATCCACCGACACACAAAGGAGAAGGAAATTTGTAACTCGTAGAGAGGAAATTTGTAACTCGTAACTCTCTGTATGCGTGTATTAAGCTTTCGAGGAATTAAATTACAGGACATTCTTAGCATTTTGATTTATTATATAGATATAAGTTGATTTATCGTATGGATACAGGCTGATTACATCGTATTAAACTTGACTATAATGTTGATTAAACGATTTAAACGTTATATTTTATCGTACAAGTCTCATCTCGAATATCTCGAAATCTCGAATTTGACACTTTCGTGCAGAAAGAGAGAAAGAGAGAGAGAGAGAGAGAGAGAGAGAGAAAGAAAAATAAGTCAAATTCTATACGAAAATGAATTTCAAATGGTGCTCTCCGTTCGGCCAAAGTTCAGGGGCCATAATCATGAGAGGTCCTTATCATAGGGCAAAGTGTATGCTCCCCATTGTGCAACCGACTACTTGATCGGTGAACTCGATGAAGCCGAGTATTATACCCTAGTCTTGGTCAGGGTACACATTATGTTTGCCAATATTACCTGTTTCGAATTGCCGACGGCAGAGATTTGACCGCCATCGGCCATTATGTCACGAAATCGGGAACGATTATGACGACCCGTTATAACGTTATATGAATCTTTATCACGATAAATGTGTATATAATGCATTATATACGATTCATGGGATATTCTTCTATTTAATTGAAAAGAAAAAAGGAAAATGAAAAAGAAAAAGAAAAAAAAAGGAATATTCTTCCTCCTTTCTTCTTTCCTCATTTATTTCTTCGTTTACTTATTTTTTTTCTTCGAAAAAAAAGGGGAGGGGAAAAAAAAAGAGAGATAAAGTATTTTATATCTCTTTCGATTATTTATCTTTATCATATTCATTGTCGTCGTTAGCCTGATATATTTATAATAGAGCCTTTTATATTTATCTCGATCGAAAATTCTATGATAATGATTTCGATCTATATTATCCGCCATTAGAAAATCTTGGACGATGATTCGAGCACATCTTCTTCGAGGTCACGTAGTAATAGTAATGATGGTAGTAACATTGGCGAAATATGATATTATGGCGTGTACTACACTTTGTGGAGTGAAAGGAGTCAGAAGAGAGCTTTTGATGAGAGAGTAAGAGAGAGAAAGAGAGAGAGAAGGAGAGAAGGAGAGAAAGAGAGAAGGAGAGAGAGAGAGAGAGAGATGCTGTTAGGTTTCGTCATCGTTACACGAACGAATCGAATTACATTAACACGATACTCTTATTAGTTCGGATTACAACTGTACTCGGTTTTATTATTATTTTCTTTCTCTTTTCCTTTATATAGTATACATATATATATATATATATATATATATATATATATATATATATTTCTTTTTATCTCAACGTTCGGTCGTTTTTATTTTTTTTCCTCCGACTCTTCAAAGCTTCTCTCATATACCTCGAGTTCTCGAGTTTCACGGTGAAGGGAAATAGAGATAAGAGAGAATAGAAAAGTAGATCAGTACCGCGTACAATTTTTTCCAAGGAGATCTCATTTCATTCGTCGTGACTATGTTAATAACCGGACTGTAAGCTTTTGAATTTGTCAATTAATTTATACGTCTGTATGTATACGCAAAAATGACATTATTTCTCATTTTCTTTTTTTCCTATTAAAAATCCTCTTTTCTTTTTTTTTTTTCTTTTTTTCTTTTTGTTTTTTTTTTTTTTTTTTTTTTTTTTTTATTTTGGAGAAGATTGAAAATAGACAGGAAGCCATTCGATATTTCATTCCAATTGTCATTTAATTGACAGTGTCAGAAAGAAAGATAGAGAGAGAGAAAGAGAGAAAGAGAGAAAGAGACAAAGATATTCTCATACAATCTCATTTAAGTATTCATTTATTGCGATCTCTCTCTCTCTCTCTCTCTCTTTCCATCTGTCTGTCTTTATCTTCTTTCCTTTCTTTCATCATGACGTAACTAATATCTCCATCTCTTCGTTCATCTTCGTGCGTGAAGAGAATTTTTGTCGCGGGTTTCAGGGGATATTGCCGTCGAACGACATTTACGGAAATGGCTCGAAGGCATTTGCTACGATTTATGGAACTTCGTATTCTATTGACGTTCTTTTCTCTCTCTCTCTCTCTCTCTCTCTCTCTCGCTTGCTCTCTCTTTCTCCCTTTATCTCGTCGTTCATTTCTTTGTAACGAGAAAACGTACTTACTTACTTACTTATTTACTTACTTACTTACTTACTTACTTACTTACTTACTGACTTACTTACTTACTTGTATCGATCTGCTTTTCTTGTGCGAGACTTCTAGCCCGTTCGAATCGTGTTAATAAGATTATGATCCTAAAGTTTCAGTCAGTTGATGCCGCGCGATAAGAGTCGCGATTAAAATCGGAATCGTTAATCATGATTTTGGGTTGGCTTTGTTCATCGAAAGGAAAAAAAAAGAAACAAAAGATGGAAAAAAAGAAGAAGAAGAAAAAAAAAAAGAAAAGAAAAGAAGAACAAGAGAAAGAAATCGTTTTTCAACGAGTTAAGACTTTTAAGTCCTTTTTACGACTCCGATCTTTGAATGTTTTCTCGAACAGATAAAATTATATATATATATATATATATATTTAGATCGAGAGACGAATATTATCCCTTAAAAACATGATACTTCTTTTATATTGAACTTTATCGACTGAAGGGATGAAAGAGAAAGTGTATTCAAAAGTAGTCAAGTAAACGTGTATAAAAAGTTAGAGAAAGGTAAGGTTAAAGGGAAAGGTCGAGTAAAACGATGAATGAATGAATAAGAGAGAGAGAAAAAGAGAGATAGAAAAAAAAGAGAAAATGGGTACTTATACGAAGCGATATAAAAACGAACGCTTTTATCTCTTGCCTTTAGAACATTTCCATAGCGTACTCAATGACACCTATCTTTTTTTTCTTCCTTCATGTAATCCAATATTCACTCTCTCTCTCTTTCTCTCTTATTCCCTCCTTCGTTTCTCTCTCTCTTTCTCTCTTTCTCTCTCTTTCTCTGTATCTTTTTTTTTTTATATATATATATATATATACTTCGCAGCGTTAATTAAAGGTACGATTAATTAACGAGTGACGAGTTAGATAAAAGATCATCTTCGAAGTGTATTCAAGTGGGTACCAACGTTAGTGCTCATTTTATTAAAAATTAAAATTTTTTAACATAACGTGTAACAACATAACGTGTATGATGTTAAATATTTGACTTAATCGTAATCAAGTGTACTGAGAACAACGAAATGAAAGTACATATGTACATATGTACATAGATGTAATAATTTTCTGCGATGTCCATTCTTCCGTTAAATCTAATGGTTTCTCTTATCGATCGATCGTTATCTATCTACTAAATTCCATTATATTCTACTGGAATTGAAGTTAGAGACGTGTACCGTATGTACATATATTGAATGTAAAGAGACGTGGACTAGCTTATGCATAGTTCAAAAGTCACGCTCGAGTTAAACGAATTAGTGACATATTAAGGGAAAGGAGAACTCAGAGAGAGAGAAAGAGAGAGAGAGAGAGTCATATGTAAATAACTTCTTTGAACGTTTCTCAAACAAATGGAAGTAATGCGATCGTTTTGAAAAAAAAAAAAAAGAAAAAAAAAAAAAGAAAAAGAAAAAGAAGAAAAAAAGAACTCATCGTAATTATAACTCGACTAATTTTTCAATTTTACGTACGTATTGAATTTCTTTTCCCTTTTTTTTTTTTTTACTACCAACTCCCCCCCCTTCCCCTCCCCAAAACCCTACATAGAAATAGTTCGGAGAGAAATGAAAAAAGAAAAAAGAAAAAAGAGAAAAAAAGAAAGAAAGAAAAAAAAAAAGGAGAACGTTAATGGAATATCGGAGAAAATTAAAAAGTAAGCTAAAAGAAGGGAAATGAATGAAAAATAAATAGATAATAGTTCACTCACCGGAAAATAGCTCGAGGAATTCCTCGACTCCGTAGTCACCCGTAAATCTATAGGATGGATCATGCAATGCTTCCTCTCCGTGAACCTTAACGCGTTTTATCATAAAACTGATATTGTCCGGTTGTCCATCCTGATTAAAATCTGCAAAGAATATTTAAACTTAAAACGTACATATTTTAATAAATTTTATCAACTTTTCAATTTATTCTTATATTTATTATCTACTTTTACAGATGAATGACATTGGCGTTAATAATTATTGGTTTTTATTCGTAAACGAACGACCAAAGGAATTATGAGAGAAAGATCGTCAAATATTCGGTATAATTTAATTTCTATTTTTTTCAACCTTTATTTTTCATATTCTCGCGAACAGAAAGATAACGGAATTTATTTATTAGCAAAAGTGAGAGAGAAAGAGAAAGAGAGAGAGAGAGAGAGAGAAAGGAAAATAATATTTATCATTTTGTTTTACTTCTACTTTTATTACTATTATTATTATTAACCCTTTCTCTTTTTCTTAAGGGAAATATACTTTTACGTTGTGCGTTAACAGCGTGAGATTAAAAATAGGAATTGAAAATTGCCAGACTTTCTACGTAATGTTCTTTGTTTCTCAAATGTGACGTTTTTCTCGTTCGTGTTGTTTCATTTATCCCCTCGTCTCTCTGTCTCTTTCTCTCTCTCTCTCTCTCTCTCTCTCTCTCTATCTTTCTTAACGTGTGAATGGCATTCGTTGGAGTGATCAGTAGTAGTCGGTGGTGTATGCGGGAAAAAGAAAAGGAATGGAGAAGAGAAAAACTCCGTTTCATTTTATCGAACGAAAAACATCGTTCGCATTGTTCTCTTACGAATGGTGTGAGTATACAATATGTCTATGTCTGTCTCTCTCTCTCTCTCTCTCTCTCTCTCTCTCTCTCTCTGTGTGTGTATTACGTATATATATGCATTTATGTGTATGGAGTCGTGGATAGGAGGAACTGGTATGTGCTTATCGAACGTCGAAAAATAGAGGTTCGTTGTTAGCCGATGAACCGTGCGATTATTGTACTGGCTTGGTAATTCTTTTCCATCCACTTCCTGACCAGAGAGAGAGAGAGAGAGAGAGATAGATATGTGTTACACAAAAGGCAACGAGACGCGATAAAATCGTATAGGTTTCGAATACGCATCTCAATCGTTGAAACGAATTGATTGGCTCGACTACTCGACGGTAACATCGAATGTTTGAAAATAAAAATATCGATATAAAAAGTATAAAAAGTTTTTCAATAATGAATATGTATGTATCTACGATGAGGAAAATCAGTGAAAATTCTTTTTCTTCCTTTCTCTCTCTCTCTCTCTCTCTCTCTCTCTCTCTCTTTTTCTATTTTTCTCTCTTTCGGTATATAAATTCAAAGTCGACAGCCGATAAGAAGAAAGAGAAAGGAGAAATAGAGGGAAGCAGAGAGAATCGAGGCAAATAATTTTCGGGAAACTAGTCTTGCTTCCTTCGAACCAGCCAACCAACCAACCAGCCAGCCAACCAACCAACCAACCAACCAACCAACCAACCAACCAACCAACCAACCAACCAACCAGCCAACCAACCAACCAACCAGCTAGCCAGCCAGCCAGCCAGCTAGCCAGCCAGCCAACCAGCCAACCAGCCAGTCAACCAGCCAGCCAGCCAAGCAACCAACTAACCAGCCAGCCAGCTAATGGGGAGGGCGGTGGGGGTACTGGTTGGTATATCTTTTCGAGAGGATGGCACTTCGCGTGGCGAGAAGCATTTAATCAGACCTTCTCCTCCCTCTTCGTTCGAAGAAATACAAATCGAAAATGGAAAAACGGTCAGACGTCACGCGAGAATCTCTCTTCGCTTTCAACCGAAAATCAACGAGAATTGTGAGTAGGGAAAAGGGCCAGGAGGATGTACGCCCCGAAAAGCGATTATTATCCTGACTCTTTCGTTTCCACTTTCTCTCTCTCTCTCTCTCTCTCTCTCTCTCGCTTTGGCTTTTAACCAATTCGATTGCTTCTCAAGTAGCACCTTCTTTCTCATTGGAAATTTTTCTTATTTCTTCTCTCTCTCTCTCTCTTTTTTCTTATATATATATATTTTTTTTCTTTTTTATATTAACTATACTTATTCCGTGAAACGGGATAAGCCATTACGTGATAAAATTATCGAATTTAAGTGTACGTATTTTAATTCGTTCATTCCGTAGAATATTACATTCCATTTTAATATCACGTTGCAATAGAAAACAGAAAAGAGTGAGGAATTTTTTTTTTTTTTTTTTTTTTTCTTTTTTTTTTTTTTTTTAATACTAACGCAATCCTCTCTCTCTCTCTCTCTGTCTTTCCTAAAAGGAACTTAACTGTTTCAAAGAGTTTGCCAAAACGAATAACGTGATATTTTGGTTAGTCTCGCGAGGTATGGGTTTCACGTTTCACCTCATCAATCCTTTCGTGGATCTTGGAAAGCGTTATGCGAGTCGACGACGTCTTCCTAATTAGTACTTAAGTCCATCATTTCCTGTAACTCGATGTATGTAATATTAATCAGCTTTGCTTCGTCAACTTACGGTTGGATAGACGGTATATGTTTGCGGTCTTGTCATCGTCCTTTTAACGACGTGGCTCGTATAACGTTAACGATAATAATAATAATAACAACAACAAGAACAACAAAAAAAAAAGAAAAAAAAAAGAAGAAGAAACAAACGATCGCTTTTTATCTTTTTCTCATGTGTTATAATTCAAGCCTAATTTACTTCCATGGTTTCGTTATGATGTCGATCATTAATTATGCTGTCTTCCTTACTCGTATCTCTTTACTCACATATCTCATTTCCTTGACATAACTTACGAATATCGATTCTAACCTCGAATGGTCCTACTATGTAGTTTATGATCGTAAACTCTTTCTTTCTCTCTTTCTCTCTCTCTTTTTCTATTTCATAATAGACCACAAATTCCTAAAAAATGAATTACGAATTTCGATTAAACCTTCGAATATTTCTTCAATGGTTCTCTTAACGACGATAATATTAATAATAATATTGACCGTGGAACAATAACAATCTCGAGAAGAAAATAATAATAATAATAATAAGAAGAAAATAGTAAATAATAAATAATAATAATAATAATAATAAGAAAATAATAAATAATAAATAATAATAATAATAATAAGAAAATAATAAATAATAAATAATAAATAATAATAATAACAATAGTAATAACAATAATAAAATTAACGATTAAACTTTCACATTTGGGAATATGTGAGGATTATAATAAGAGCACAGGAGGAAGAATTAGATGACGGTGGTTTGATTAACGGTATAAAATAGCGAGGGAGGACTGGTGAGGTGGGTGGGTGGGTGGAGGGGGATGGTCGATGAGGAGGAGGTACGTGTCTAATACAACCTAGTCGATCTTTTCTGCCGAAAACGAGAAAGAAGATAAGCTGTTAGAGGAGGTGAGGTAAATGCTAATAGGTATAACAAAAAGAGAGAAAAAAGAAAAAGAAAGAGAGAGAGAGAGAGAGAGAGAGAGAAAGGAAAAAAAAGAGAGAGAGAAAAAATAAAATGATCGTATCTGGGAGATAAAAAAAAAAGAAAAACAAAAAAAAATATTTATTCAAATCGCACAGAGTCGACTCGATATGAGATGATTAACGCTTGGAAACCACCAGTTTTGCGCATGATACGAAATTTTTATCCGATCCTCCCCACACCACCCCACCACCATTCCTCGCCTCCGCCCCTCTTGAAGTTAACGCACGTATGTATATATATATATATATATATACATACAGATATAATAGTACACATACACAGTTATAGTGATAACACCGATATCTTTGCTTAGCCAGGGGGGACATTAAAACATTCATACATATTCATATATACCGCGTTAGTCCAAATATATTTCATAGGCATAAGAAGTAATGGATAAAAGGGTCTGATAATTCAACGATCCTGCTCTCCAAAGGTGGGTGGTTTATAGAGAAAGAGAGAAAGAGAGAAAGAGAGAGAGAGAGAGAAGGAGAGAGAGAAGGGAAGCGATAATCGGCCCGACTATCGTCATTCCGTAATCTCGGTTGGCGCCGGCGGCATATTCGTTAGAAGCCCGGAAACTTTGGCGGAAAACGAGCTTTATCCTTGGCGATCGCACGACGGAAGGAACTAAATAGAGAAAGGGAGAGAAAGGGAATTAGAGAAAGAAAGAGAGAGAGAGAGAGAGAGAGAGAGAGATAGGGAATTCTAAGTAATGCACTGCCCTCGCCGCACGCCGGTACGTGCGGTCACGCCACGTTAAACACGTCTCAGTCACGAGATGCAAATATTTGCCCGTTGTTACTGCAGGTGGTGCGCAGTGCTCAACCGGTTCTGTCGTATCTGCGAATATACAAAGCGCTACAACACCGAAATCATTCCCTACTCTCCATCTACTCTCTTCTCTTTCTCTTTCTCTTTTTCTTTCTCTTTCTCTTTCTCTTTTTCTTCTCAATTCTTTTTTTGCCTCCTTCTACCTTGTTTAATTGAAATTCTTCTTTTCTTTTTATATACATGTATATATATATATATATATATATATATATATATCCTTCATGTTGAAACTTCACGAATTTATTCGATATTACATTTCGTCTCTCTCATGTCGTTGGATAAATGAATTTTATTGGAAAATAATATTTATATCGATTTTAACAACGTACGTGTTTAGATTTAGATCGAAGTTTTCTTCTTCGTTAGAGGCACACGTGTCCAACGTGTGTCTCTATGTCATTCATTATTTTTTTTTTCTTTTCTCTTCACCACCCCACCCACCCCCCCCCGGCCTTTTTTTTTCTTTTTCCTTTTTTTTGTTTTCCCCTATCGTCAATCTATTCCTTTTTATATCGAACGTTCCAATTCAGTATTGTTCGAGTCGAATTTTAGTACCTACGTGATAGTTATTATTTAATATATATATAGTTAGTTATTTTTTCTTTTTTTTTGTTTTTTTTTTTTTTTTGTTTTTTTTTTCGTTTTTTTTTTGCAAGATAACATTTGTCGATAATATATTACATAATTATATTAATACAATTAAGAGTATGTTATAACGACGTACTTTTTGATAATTGCTTTTGTACAAAATGGTTTCAAAAATTTTGACATGAAATTTTGACATTTAAGGAATGACATAGTTTTAGAAAATGATTTGTAATAAAATGGATCGTACGAAGAAACTTTTGTACTACGATGAACGACGAACGTTAATAATGTTAGTATGAATTTTCATTGATACTTTTGATATTAATTATTAACTTACAGATATACATATCATTTTATTTTTATTATTATGATCTATTGTAACATTATTAAAAGGAATAGTATGAAATTTAGTTTTGTTTTAGTTCGATGATTTCGATGTAATAGAAGTTTTTCGTATTGCGTTAAATCCTTGCAATACGAGTGGTTTGTTTTTCTATTTTTTGTCCATTTTTTTTTTTTTCTTTTTTTTTTCAATATTTACTTTTTTTTTTTTATTTTTCAAAAGTACACGTCAAATTATAATTATGTATCTATATATCGTTCTTCGTTATTCATCAAATAATATTTTATTCCTTATACGTGAATATTTCACATAATATGAAGATTTTATTCGTAATATCATTTTCACGTATTATTTTTCATACATTAAATAATTATCAATAATTTATTATTAAATAATAATTATTTTTAATAAATAATTGTA